AGATTAAAAAGCACGGCTTGTCTTTTTTTTCTCCACAGATTGATTGGCGGGTTAACTGCAGCTTGGATTAACTGCAGAACTTCAAATGTCTTTAAAGGTTACATCGCAATCTCCTTCAGTCACTGTGAATAAAAAGCTCATTTTTTTTAATACGTGCAATCGAGAACTGTGAAGAAAATATAAAGGTACTTTTAAACTGCCGGTCATAAGGTTTGACATTAGGCATCAGACACACGTGCATTACAGGTTATCACAGTATGTTGTCTGCAATTAAAAACCCGAAGTTGTTGAGAAAAAAAATCAGTCAGGCCTCTCTGGCAGAATTTGTAAGCTTTAATGGCAGACTTCATTACAGATGTTCCAGATGTTGCAGAGTTTAGCTTTTTTTCCTATGATGATAAGGTTTCCTTCTGCACAAAATTACATTCTGCCTGCCAGACAAAAAGTAATGGGAAGACTGTTTGATAAGCTCCTTCATATCAGTCATCACACTCTTTTTAAAAATAACTCATTTACATTTAAAAAGAAAAGAGGATTATTTATGAATTGTCCACATAAAATGAACTACAAGATAAGAAGTGCATACGTCACTCTATATACTCCTTAATGCTAGTACAATAATGTAAAGTTAGAACTGGTTTCTTAGTCTTTTCTCAAAACATTTGCTACAGCACTGCTGCAGCCATCAAAACACTTTCCAGTAAACGTTTCCGAGCTTTCGCTATTTCATACTTTTTTACATCTTACTTGGGTAAAAGAAGTCACCAAAAATGGGAAAAACACAGTTCAGAGAAAAGTGTTTTTATGATTGGAAGGAGGACTTAGACTTAGGATTGCCATCAGAAATAATGGACACCTTTAAATAGAAAAGTATTTTGAAATTTCTCTGATACTGAAAAAAACAACTGCTAGACCTCAGTTAAATTGGTTGATAGTTGTCTTGATGCATCCTGACAATAAAACAGTCAATAAAAATAAGTAAACATAATAAGCATCACTTGTTTGTCATTATTGTTAACATTTCACATTTTATTTTACATGTTGTATTAATAAGAAATAATTACCTTGGCTTTTGTCCCTGTCAGACTGAGAGACACAAATTACAGCAAATAGATTACTACTGTATGCAGTCCATAATAAGAAAGAAACTTTAAGAAATGGTGACATCGTAAGTCATTGGTCAATAATCGCAAAGGAGCAGTTTAATTTTTGATATTGTAAATGAACAATATCATAATGACACATAACGATTAATTTGCAAAAATCAAGTGCTTGGTTTTTTCATTGATGACCTCCAGTTTCAGAGCAACTTGAAAATTCCAACTTGGCTCAAGGTATCTGAAGAGTATTCAGTGCTCTGATTAAAAGGTGGTAAAGAAGGGTCAAAAGAAACAAATGCATTGTGGGATTAGACAAAACATAATCCAATAGCATAATCCAAGCTAATGTATGCTTTTGTCTTGTCCAGGTTTGATCATTGTAATTCAGCGCTTACTGCCATAGCCCAATGTTCTTAACAAGTTGCAGCTGAATTCAGGATTTTAGCTAAAAATTAAACACATACACATGCATTGCCTCTTTTAAGCTTTAAAGTAAGCTTAAGATTCAAATACTGTAATTGCATCAGAGAACTGTTAACCCACTAACTGTTAACTGTCATATTTACAGTACATGTCTTTTGCACTCTTTGACCTTCTTCTTTCAATTCCCAATATAAGGCACTTAACATTTGAAGACGGTACTTTCTGTTCTGTTGCTTCAAGATTAAGGACTCTCAGCCCATATCAGATTTTGTCATTAGTCAGCACTTTCAAATCTTGTCTCAAAACCCACCTTTATACTCAACCTTTTAAAGCTGTTGAATTTTGTTATTTGTGGATCTTTTGTCTTGAGATGAATAAAGCACTATTTAAAACACAGGCTGTTTTTATTATAAGTAGTTGCTTTATTGAACCCAGTTGTGGGTTAGGCAGTGGAAGGAGTGAAAATTCAGTCTGTATGTTTCTATATATTGACCACTGCAGCATGCAGCCAGGCATGCTGACTCACAGAGCTGTAACTCCAGCGATATGCCACTTTCAATACTTTCTGCTTCTGGCATCTTGTTGCCCTCTTTTTTTATCAAAATCCCCACACCTCATGCATGTTTTGACTCAAAACTATCTGACTGCCCTATCAGCATTCCTACTTTCCTCCTCCTTTCAACAACTCAAAAGATGTTTCAACAATGCATGTGTTTAAATTAGTAAAACATGCAACATTCCACTTCATCACAGAATGCCTGCGGCTGCTGGAATTGTGAAATTCATGCTACGTGTGCAATAGAGGCCCTGATGTACTGAAAAAAATAGTGCAACTAAATAACCAGAGTGGCAAAAAAGAAATAAACCTTAAACATTATAATTACTAGAAACCCTAGGCTCAAAATAACATCATCTTCTCTGCTACTGCTAATATAATAGCTAATTATAATTTTTTCAACATTACCTTTAAGCTATGATTACTGCATCCTGTGAGCTGTTACCTACACATGCTATCAAGATACAGTATATAATATAGCAGATATATAAAATATTCTGCCATAGCCCTGTTCGCACACTTAATGTCTACAGAAAGAAAGTAATTACTGTACACTTTATTTCTAGTGATGTGTTTAAATAAAAATGTAATCCGATGAAATTAGTATTGTATTAATGAAGTCCTTTATCTGTATTTTATTTTCAGTACATATAGTATCATGTTAATTGCATGTGCTCTATGTCAGTTTTCGATCCTTGTTATTCTAATAGTTTTTTTTCAACCTCTGTATACTGTAGGTCAAAACCTATTTTTGTATATGCTGACGAACAGAAGCAAACGCAGCAACAGAAAGGGAAAAAGGTGAAGAGATCAGTGTTGCATAAATGGAAAGAAAGGACAGTTAAAATTAAGCTTATTAAGCAATTAACACAAATTAACAGCCCTTAAGAAAGCCATCTTTCCTTACATGTTGCGAGCTTTTTGGTTTTAAAATAGCATGTGATATCTGATAGCAGATTGGTATCTGCTTCGAGGTTTTCAGATTTTTTCAGGGATTCTCAAGGGATTTTTATTTCCATGCAGTCAGGCTAACTGAATTAAATACAATTACACTGCGTGCAGCATTAATAGAAAATGTAGCCAGAGATTATTGGAGTCTGTCTCCAGTATTGCCAGCTCTCTGAAGTGTTACAAGGTAAAAGAACATTAAACAGCTTTTGAAATAATATTGACCTGGCCATGTATTAGTGAAGTAAGAAGTAAAGAAATAAATGCAAAAGTCATAATTTAATAAGACAGACAGAACACAGAAAAAATAATGATTTTGTGTAGAATTTATATGAGGCTCTGTTTCTGGAAACACTACATTTCTTCAGGGTGTTTTGTGAAAATGATCAGTGATGGTCTTCTGTATTAAAGCAGTTGTTTCTTGTCCTTTTAAAAAAACACACACAGTCACCATGACACAGGGCTTCATGTCCTTGCGCTGGCACATTCATGGATGAAGCTGAATTTCTTTTTGTCACTTGTAGGCTTTTATTTCTTTAGAGGAGTGACAAACTGAACAAGCTTAGCTTGACCTTAATGCAATTTGTATTCCTTCAGGATCCCAGTTTTACTTGGTAATGCAATTACTAAGTATCTCAGGAAATAATTTAAATGCAGAAAGAAACCACAGTAACACACACACCACATATGATATATCCATCCAAGGCAGGATAATATACCAATCCATGACAGGGCACACACCGACAGAAACACAAACGGGCACAGACTCACAGTAGGGCCAGCTTTCCCAGAAGCCAATTAATGCACCAGTATGTCTTTGAACTATGGAAGAAACATACACAAACATGAGGGAGAGCATACAAAACTCTATGTGGAAGGCACCCCAGGAAATGAATTTGAGCTCTCTACTGTTTGCATTTTACTTTTTGTATTTCCAGTATGTACAAAACTGAGACTTTAACAAGAATTGGTTATTTAAATGTTAAGTGAGAACATGTATGGGTCCTGGGCAAAAATGTTACCTGAAGAAACAGAACAAATAAAAGAACAAAGTGAAAAATAAGTAATTCTTCCTTTATTGTTTATTTACATAACTATTATTGTTTTTCCTTGGGTCTTTTTTCAGATTTAAAAATGTTTCTGACTTTGGAAAAATACTTGGAAATACTCTGGAAAATTATCCCCTCTTGTGGTAAGAGTGATAATTACAACTTTCATCGCTATGATAGAGGGGTTAGGTACAGTAAAAGTACGATTTTTAATAGTTATAAAAGTATTAGCTCTGACAAAAAAACCCGTCACACACAGATACAACATTCTTATATGACGACTGAAAAAAGGAATTATTGAGTTAACTTCATGAATCTAAACTGCTATTCGATAATAAGACATTTAAATCCCATATAACAGAATAAAAAATATAAAATTGTATCAGAACTCCTAGTTAAGACGAACATTAAATTAACAGATCAGCAGGGTTTTACGTGCAGTTCATTTTTTATAATGTGCCCAAATGCAATAGATTTCAGAAAATTCACATTCGGTGTTTTAGAATGTCGGTAAATCACAAGGCGATGCAATTATCTGGGATTGCGCAGTTGGTGCAGTTAAATGAAAGGCTCGTTTTTTTTATTACGGCATCAAATAATTTTTCTTTATATGTGCGATTCGAAACTTTATATCCCATAACTTTATAAGTTTATATCCTCATTACTCATGCATAGCACTGGAGCTGTGTGTTTAGCAAGACTAGCGAGAACTCTTCACTCAAGTGTAATCTGGTTGGGACCCAACTTTGACACAGACCCTGACGTGAAAATGCACGGACAGAAATCACCCCTAAAAACGAGTGCAGTTTGACCTCCGGACACTAGGTGTCCCCAGGAGAGCTTGACATCTTTATAAGGCGATTCGCTATGTTTTGGTCATGTGCTTTGAGGTTGACAGGAAGCCTTGTTGAAAGTTCACAGGCACAAGGAAGCGCATATGCGTGCTGCTATTTGCTAGTAATGCCGACATCTAAGGGAGGAGAGCGCCGTGAAACAGAAAGCTGAAAAAAGCAAACACTGAGGATTCAGGCACCCCGCTGACAGCTAGCTGCCGTTTAGCTCTGACAAAAAGCCAAGGACAGCAGCACGATGTCAGACCATGTTGGTTGCCTAATTCACCTTACGTGCCAGTTTCAGTGACAACCTTGTCTAAACCGCTGTGCACTGCCTGTGCGTGAAATTGAACTCCCTTCTTGTGGAAAGTAGTTTAAGGGCGGACCATTGGCTGAATCCCAAAGAAAAAGGTGTGTTTTTTTTTCTTTACCTGAGCTGGCGTGTCCTGACAGTTTGCCTGCTCTGTCCTCTCGGGACTCATGTTTCTTCCCCATCCACGGATGATCTTAAGAGCTACGCTTGAAGGAAACGCTCACCAAAATGGTAAGTTTCACATTCGTTTGTTGGGACAGTTCATTGAACTCGGCGGACGGCAGAAACTGGCGTCTCTGGCCGTCCTTGCGTTTTTCAAAACGTACATTTATTTAACGGTCATGTTGCTACCAAGACGGGTTTCGGGTTTTACGAGTATGTTATAACGTTACAAAATGCTGTTGACGTCTGGTGTCTTTGCTTATTTACACGTTAGCAAATACTAACGCAATTACCCACGTGTAGAACAGCCGTTTATTTTTGTTGGAAGCCATACTCGGATAAGATTTATGATAGTTAAGGAAAACGAACATGCCAATTCTCACGTTTATGTTCCAGACATGCTTGCGTAAGATCGGGATAGCCTAGCTTTTCTACATCTGGCGTTTCAACACGCTAGTCGAGTACTGCCCATTTTGCTCTCTAAGGTTCAAAACTGTCGTGTTAAAATAGTCAAGGAATTCAATCCAGCAACATACATGACTGCCTATGAAGTAAGCGGGAAGTAATTGTGTTCCAGAAAGCCGGGAGGTGTATTGAAATTGCATGAATTTGTCTCCAGGGTTGCAGAGCTTGACCATCATTCCGATACAAGTAATTCTGGTCAGCTGTAGCTATTGAGAGTTACTAGCCAATATCAGCATTTGCAAGATGCTTATGCACGTACATTAGTGTACTGTATATCTGGACAAGAAAACGAGGCAACCATGCAAAAAAGTGACGAGTTAGAGGCAGTTTTGTAAAGAAAAGATTTTAAATCATCCAAACTTACACAGTTAATAAAAAATGATTTGTGACAAGTTGTGAAGGTTAATGAAAACGCTATGTAAGGACAAAGGTGCCAAATTCACTCTTTTTGTTTAACAGGTTATTTTGCCGAACACTGGAGGGTATCCTGTAATATTTTTGTATGTTCACATTGCTGCACATTTCTTGAGAAAATCTTAGCTGTAGCATACGCTTTCCTCTTAACCTGGGTGCTTTGTAACAGGTGTGTGTTTAACATTGCATTGGGAACTGACGACGAAGGTGGCGTGTCTTGGCCCAGGGAGAAGTAAAACATCTAACTTGTATAGAAATCAATAGAAACTGAAATATGACACTCAGGGCTGCTTGTGATCTTAAGTGTCTCTTCTATTCCTAGATTTTAGAGGGTGACTTGGAGAGCAATCGCTGAATCCCTGCTCTTCTACCTCCCATCACCCACACACCCCTTTTTCCAGTCCCTGGAATCTCACCATGTTGGAAGGTTTGGTTGCCTGGGTACTCAACACCTACTTGGGCAAATATGTCAGCAACCTTAACACTGACCAGCTCTCCATTGCTCTACTCAAAGGTACAGTTGTTTTCAGCTTTGTATTTTTGAGTTAACACAAAAAAAATGTCGAGATTTTTTTTTAGGTGGCTCTTGTTATAAGCTGGTCCTCTATGTCTTAGTCAATTACTTGTCTTAATTTATGTATTATTTACTGAAATCAAACTTGTTAGAAAATCAAAATAATTCCATAATAAAAATGAGTTTTATATGTTTACATGTGCATTCCTCCACTAGGTAAATTAGGTAAATTGCAATGTTAAACCATTTAGATTGTGGGGTATGATTGGATTGCTTCCTGTTTTTATGTCTGTTACTGTATGTTTCTTCTTGTTTCTGTTTCTTTCAAGTTAATAACTCACCCACAGCAATGGTGTGATGTGGTATATCAAAGATCTTTTTTCTGTTTCCATGTTTTCTCTAAAGACATCCGAACTCTAATAAATATGATTCAGCCGATAATGGAATCTGGTATGTGGCAGGTAAATTTTTAAGCCCTCATTAGAAGAGATGACTTCACAAATGGAGTCCTACAGTTTTTGAAACCTGTTACAACATAAAGTGTTTAAATAGTGTGTTGTAAAAGCTATATCTAAATCTCTAGTTACAAACAGGTATGGTCATGTCAGCACTGATGAGTACAGTTGATTTGCAGTGGTGCAGTCACACTGTGGTGAATGTTTGTATGGAACATAGTTTCTTTTTTTTTTAATCACTTCAAATGTAATTTTAATGGACCAGCAAAGAAAGGTTACGAGAGACTGGACATTCAGGAAGGAAACCAGGTCACTGTTGAAAGTGTTCAGCTTAAGTGTGTGGTGCTTAGTCCAGGTTGTGGGTGTCTGCTTTTGACACAGCTGGTGTAAGGAAGAGTTCAGGTGTGGCTCCGCAGTTGTCTGTGAGAGCCCGTGTTTGCATTCGCTGAGAGTGTTGCTTGAATCTTTCTTTTATCTTGCAGGGGCAGTTGAATTGGAAAACCTTCCCCTTCGAAAGGATGCTCTTAGAGAGTTTGATCTACCTTTCGAGGTCAAAGCAGGTATGTTGATCTTTAATTTACCCCCCACACTTCATACTGCTTCCAGCGATTCATAAATCAGGCTGATAGTGATCGTCTTGTTCAGTTCAGTTTAGTGGCAATGTTTCAAGTGCAGCAGCTGTCCTCAGATAGGTTACAAAGACCGTTAAGTTTTTCTAAGGAAGTACAGTAGCTGAGTGGCCTAGCAATGAATGCCTAGGATTCAGTAAGTCATTTATCATCTGCGCCTAAAACATCTAGCGATGAGAACAGGCAAACAATCAATAAGATATTTCCTACCAATCAGAGACAAAATGTGAAAAATTGTGGTAAAATGAGTTGAATGTTTTATATGCTTCCGTTTGTATTGTCAGTTTTTAGTATGTTCTATTTAATATTTCACTATTACGGGACTAGCAGAACATGTAAAATTGTCTGTGCAGACAATTAAAATCTCATAGGTCAGCTTGGCAGCAGTGTTATACTGTACACTCAGGAGTGTGCCTGCCTGGATGCTTTAGAAAGACCAATAATTGAGATTTGGTCTTCTTTAACTAATAGACCTCTAATAGGTTCTTTGTTTCTCATTGATGGTATGGCACATCATTTTATAGGTCTCTGGGTGTATTTACTGTCATTAATAAATCTGATTTGTGCCCTTAACTTTAGGCCCTAATTGTAGATCCTCATCACTCATACTCCTAAACACACAAAAACAAACTGACAGATGTTGTATTTCAGAAATTTGTGGAGGCATTAAGCAAAATGTTTTCTCATGTTTAAGTAAAGCCAGAACAGGAGACAAGTAATACATTCCCTTTAAGGAAGTTATGCAATACTGAAAAGTGAAAATTGTGCTGCTTTCCTAACGCATGAGAGGCAGGTGAGAGCTACAGGCAGTTATAAAACTGTAACACAAGTAAGCAGGGCACTTGATTTCTAAAACCTTCCCTGTGCTTCTTGCATGACATTCTTTTGGACTGCATTAGTGATAGTTTTCTCTCTGGTTTGTACTGTGGTACAAAGTTAATCACCCAGAAGAAATGACAGAATGTGTGTCTACTATTTTCCTGAAGAAGACTCCACGGCCGAAACGTTGTGTTTTCTCTCTTCTTTTTTCCAGCAAGGAATAAACCTATTACTTGTTACTATTTTCCTAGGCTCTTGTAAAAGGGTATTTCAGATTTGAATTTTGCATGAGCGTATCTGTAGCTGTCAACAAATAACAGTTCTGAGGTTTTCTCACCCTGGGTGTCCTACAGGTTTCATTGGGAAGATCACCCTCCAGATCCCATTCTACCGGCCTCACAGTGACCCCTGGGTCATCTGCATGTCCCAGCTGCACCTGATCGTTGGCACAGCCCACCCCCAGGAGTATGAGGAGGAGAGGGAGCAGGAGGCAGAGCGGGAGTACAAGAAGAAGCTTCTCCAGGCCCTGGAGGAGAAATGGAAGGTGAGAAGAGACACAACACAAGGTGAAAGCGAGCAGGAAGGGCTGACAGGCAGGCAGGGATTAGACAATGAACAAAATTAAATGAAACAGTACAGGAACTAAATTTATTCTAAAAAATATCCGACCTTTCCCCTTTTGAATATGTGACCAGTTCCATCATGTTGAATGTAGCAAGGCATGGTTTTATTTGGAAAAACCCTTGGTACTGGGGACTTGGTAGGTGGACTGAAATAATGATGCAAGTCTAGTTTCCATTTACATACATATATATATATAGTATGTACTGTCTGATACATTCTGTGATTTGTTCAAGCTGTTTCATTCATGTCAGCAGCATGCTTTTGCTTCCTGATGCTCCAGTAGAAATCTGAACTTTGGGGCTGAAGCTGGGGGGCATTGGTGGGGACTGGCATGCTATAAATGCAAAAGAAACAGAAGACATTGTTTGGTAATGAGGGCATTCAGTGAAAGAGCAGCTGGGAAATGATCAAGGCGAAATTTGTCAAGAAGCACTGATTTTATCATCTCAAGTAATACACTTTGTGTCCTACGCCAACAGAGCGAATGCCAACAGAAAGGAGAGTCCTACTGGTATTCAGTCACTGCATCTGTGGTTACTAGAATTGTGGAGAACATTGAGGTATGTAATGAGAGGCACTGCTGTATCATAATCACTAACACAACAAAGCGAAAGAGGAAATGGCCCTCAATTAATTTTGTATTATTAGTGAGGTGTAGTTTGCACTTTATCACATGCGTGTTAATTATTAATGAGGTTTGGTATATAAAGGGCTTTCAAAGTGTTAGTGGGAGTTAATGGGAGGATTTAGGAAGAAGTCAGACTACTGCCTTGAGTTGAGTATTAATAGAGAAGGGAGGATCTCTTTCAAGAGTCTTTTAAGTGACACATCCAGCATGAATTGTGTGATAAAGCCTCCTGCACTGTTTTATGAACTGGTATCCCTACAGTCACCTTATTGAAGGGTTGGTTTGTCACACAGTGTATTTACCTTTTCTCTTTATAGCTGAAGATACAGGGTGTTCACCTGAGATTTGAGGATGAGTCTTCCAACCCGGAGAAACCTTTTGCGTTTGGTGTGTGCATTAAGAGTGTATCAGCGCAGAATGCAACCAAAGAACCGGTAAGAGGGGAGTGCTGGACTCAGAGCCTGGGCTTGCCAGAACTCTAGTTCCAAAGTTAATGATTTGGTCTTAAATTCTCAATTTGCAAATGCAACATTAATTGAGAAAATAAGCTGACAAAAGCACACAAATTAAAATAGAATTATAAGATCTTTATGATTCCAAGGCAGCAATTAATTCTTACGAAAGATTAGATTAGCATAGTACTTTCAGACAGTGGAGAAAATTGTAGAAGTTAAAGTGGAGTGCTGATGTCATTTAAATGTAGCAGTTTATGATTATAAATCATCATGTGGATCAAGGTAAATTTAAACTATTTTTAACATTTAAAAATTAGATGTTTATAGACACTGTATATTGTAAGCATGAGAGGTGACTCAACAGACTTATCCCTTCTCTTCTCATACAAATATGCTGAGCATGAGATACTCAGACTGCTAGCTGTAGCTAACATTCCATAGTGTTCCGGTCTAACAGGCCATTCAACAGTGTGAAGCACCAAGCTTATTGAATGCACCCTTGAATTTTGTAGAAAAAACTCAACATGGTAAAGATTCTAGCACTGTTTATGCTGGTTTACGCTAATATTTGATGTGATAAGGTCACAATTGTGGTTGTCCATGAAAGTATTTTTTAAAGCCACTGACATTGGAAAAAAATGTCTAAAATCAACAGCATGGTAGAGCTATGCATCAGTGCTTCATTCATACCTTTTTTAACATTGTTATTTTCCATACAATAGCAGAAAGAACACACAATGTCAACATACAAAAAGAGAAAAGTGTCAAAATAAATAGGTTTTTAATATAAGACGTCTGACTATTCTGTTACCCTTTCTGTAACATCACTGATGATAAACAGTTGTGAGTTTCAGTGGTCAAACCCGAACGAGAGCACATTTGTGATAGAGGGGGTTTAGAGCAATCTTTTGGAACTGCTGATACAGTATTACTTACTCTTTTGCAAATTTAAAGAAATTTAGCTGGCAAGCTGGGTTTTAAGTGAATTGAAAATAAAGATCCCAGATTCCAGTCAGGACTGTAACCAAATTTCTCTGATTATGTGTCCTACATAATGGTAACTGGGAGGGAACTGAAAGACCTTGTAGTAAGTGGTGATGTAGGTCAGCTACAAGGTAAGAGCAGTTTCCTCAGGCACCCAGAAGATTCTACGATGATAACATCGGATGCGATGATAAAAAAGGATGATAGAAATCCAGGGAGTGCACAGGCCCAAATCATAAGCATTTATTGCAGACCACTTTGAATGAAGTACTGACTTATTAGTTTTGCTGAGGAGGTACTGATTGAGACCAAGCTCTGGAGATTGATTAGATCTGTACTCACCTTATTCCTTTCATTCTCATTGATTTGTGTGGTGGTTATAAAAGAAAGTTGAAATATAAATTATAATGACCAAAATGTATTTCAGCTAAAATATCTTGAAATTGTTGTCACTGTTATTGCCTTCTTTTCTCTTAGGCCCAGAAGTTGCTGCGACAGAAGCGGCTGGAGATTGAGGAGTTCAGTGTGTACTGGGATACCGAATGCGTCATGCTGGGTAACCTCCCTCCATCAGAGATTCAGGTAGAACATGCAGCTTTAGACATTGAGCTGGCATGACAGAAACCTTGCCACTGCATAGTTTTGACTACAGCTTGAAATGCTTAAAAGCAAGACATGGTGTTCATGTGTCTTGCTCCTGGTGTTATGGAATGTGACTGTGTTGTGTGAGCTTTAGCCATACGAAATGAGATTTTGCCCCATTTACCATCCAGGAGGCGATGGCCAAATGCATGCAGAGCCGTGAGCACCAGTACGTCTTTGAGCCTGTGTGTGCCTCAGCTCTGCTTAGAAGAAATGCATCCAAAGAACCCCTGCGTTCCCGTCACAACCCACGCATCGAAGGCCAGGTCCAGCTGGAACCTCTGTCCCTCCGTCTTTCGCAGGTAGGCAGCATTCCCTAAAGGGCTGGGTTCCAGTCCTCTTTCTCTTCTGTGTTTTGGTTTGGATTTTCTCCACTTATGGGACGTGTAACTAGTTGTGACTGGACTCTAGTCTCCAGATGGTGCTCTGAAGTCAGTGACAGTGTTATTCCTTGTCTGTATGCCCTCCCCACCAGTTTTCAGCTGGGTCTTGGGGTCACTCAGTTTAGATAGTGAGTATAGATAGTGATATCTACATAAACAGTGATCAGATCTAGTTCTTGAAAGCTGCTGGATCTTAAATACCCAATTTACAATTACTTGGTCTTTTTGCAGCTGAGCATTTAAAGAGCCTTGTAAAAGCTGTAAGATTCATGTCTTCGATGCTAAATTTTAGACACTCCTGAAGTAAGTAAAACAAGATCACTGAGAGTGTGTTGTGACCAAAAGTTAAACATAAAATAATGTAATTTAGGGAAGTAGATTCCAGTTAGAGGGTCTAGGAATTACTTAGTCACCTCAGTTGCATGCATACGGAGGCCCATGTTTCTCTTCTTAGGTACGATACCAGCACCAAAAGTGGAACAGAATAAAATAATGTAATTTAGAGAAGTAGATTCCAGTTAGAGGGTCTAGGAATTACTCAACTCACCTCAGTTGCATGCATAAGGAGGCCCATGTTTCTTTTCTTAGGTACAATACCAGCAGATCATGGCTTTCCTCAAGGAACTTGACCGGAGAGAAAGAGAAGTGCTGTTTCGCCAATGGAAGCCTAAAGTCCCAGTGATGGGGAAGTGAGTTCATCTTTTCAATTTAGTATTTTCTGTAGCACTATCTGTACATATAAAACATAAACAGTCAGCCCATAAACATTTTATCGTTGTGTTAAGGATCTGACTAAGTAAGCCTTGTGAAGTATAAATTTGTGTTTATTTTCTACTTTTACACATTTTGTATTTCTTTGTTGTGTAAGACAGCTAAACGTATTTGTCAGTGAAGTATTCTGTGAAAGATGTTTAAGTGACATGAAAAGGCATTAATTGGGAAAAATATATTGTCATCAACATAAAAATGAACATTTTCTTTCATCTTATCACAATAAATGCCCTTATCAGTGCAGTGCATTTAAGATCACTTTACTGGCCATATACAATTTCTTGTATTAGGAATTTGTCTTTTTGCTTACTCTAACTTGCTCCCCATGAGACACAGACTGGGAGAGAAGCTTGTGGTTAGAGCACAGGGTCAGCCATTTATACAGCACCCCTGGAGCAGCTGGGGTGAAGGGCCTTGTTCAGGGGCCCAACGGAGTAGGATTCCTCTGCCAGCCGCGGGATACAAACCGGCAACCTTCCAGCCACAGGCGCAGATCCTTAGCCACAGTGCCACTGCACTGCCCTTTGCAGTATATTATAGCATTACAACAACAGATAAAGGATTTGTGTGCGAAATATTTTACGTCCAGGAAGCCAGGCTGTTACAGGTGATGTCAATAATGGCTTCATTTGTATAGTCGAGGTACATTATAATTGTCTGTGCGCAGCTGCCGGGAATGGTGGTTGTTTGCCATCAATGCCAACTTGAGTGCGATCCGGGAACAAAGGCGTCGCAGTAACTGGGACTTCGCCCTGCGGAGGGCATGTGATGCCCAGCTGTACACCAACCTGTACTTCCAGAGGCTGAAGGGAGTCGGTCTGAGCACCGAGGAGGAGGTATGAGTCCAGAGCTTGGATCCCTTACATAGCGTGAGTCAGCTAATGTAGCCACTTGTTTCAAAATAACAAAATCAAAAGGTTTTCTATTGATAGCAGTGTGGGTTGCTTTCATTTGATGCTTTCATCCAAAACTGCTTACATTTCTGCCAGTTTATACAAGTGGGCATTTTACTGAAGCTACCTTTACTAATGTAAAGGAACAAGTAACAGGTTTATTCCATGCTGAAATGAGAAGAAAGGAAACAGAACGTTTTTCACACACCCGAAGAAGGCTCCATTGCCGAAACGTTGTTTCCTTTCTTCTCTTTTCAGCATGGAATAAACCTATTACTTGTTCTTTTGCAGCCTACGCATGCTGACGCAGCTATCCACCTGAACTACTTTTACTGATGTATGTTGCTTAAGCATCCAACATCAGTTCTCCACCCAGGATTTGAACTTACACCCTCCTAATTCTGAGTCTAGAGTGCTATCCCATTCTCCAGAATGCTAAACTCAACAGTGTTATTCACACATGCACACAAAGCATGATATGTTCCTCAAGTGGTTACATTGACTTAGTTGCTGACTTAACCCTGCATTAGAGAAGCTGAAGGAGATGCAAGCTTGCATGCTTATATTGTTGGCCTGTTCAGATATTTTTCCCATTAAAATTATGTGACCATGGGGTTTGTGTTTGTGGTGAATGACAGTTCACATAAAAGGTTGCATCAGTGAGGTTAGTGGTGACATAATGCTTCCATGTTCTGATTTGTAAGTATGCAGGTTTTTTTTTTCTTAACACTGGTGCATTCTTTTCATGACGTATTTGACTGAACAGGCCAGATTACTTCACATGCAGCATTCATGTAAAAAGCATAGCAGGACTTTTTATGGTAAATATTGAAGACTGGTGCAGTTTGTTCTAAATCATGTGCACTAACTTGTCATTGTGCAGGAGGAATTGGAGCGGGTGGAGAATGAGCAGAGCCTGGAAGAGCTTAAGTGCTTGCGAGAGATTGTCCACGACCGCTTCCGCAAGCAAGAAGAGATAGCAGAGGCAAGCTGGGATACATTGGGTACTTTGGTGTTCAGGGAGTATGTCCATCATGGACTTTGAGCCAAATTCTGTAAATGGAAAATCTGATAATATAGTTTGTAGCATAAAATGTGGACGTAGGGCTACAGGAATTTGGGATTGTTGCCGAGTTGAGAAAACATCTCATAATTATTTCTATTTTTACTAATAATTATTATTAAGCACAAGCCTTGAATATGCATAATTGCATCCTGTTATGTTTACAATATAATCCCAACTACATAGGGAATGCAATTTTGATTTATGCGAGTTAACAATTTAAGCATTGACCATTTCAAATTGAGAACTGACTTCGAAAGCAATTATGATGTATAGATTATGTACTGAGTAGTTAGCTTCCAGAATACAGGGAACAAACCACAACATTATAGCTGAACAGCAGGGGAGAAGTGACATGGAGTGCTACTAACCATGTTTTTCCATTCAACACAGAGCGTGCGGGAGTCCATCTCTGAGCCCCCCAGCCGGTCTCCTTCTGGATCCATCCCCAAGAGTGGCAGCACAGGCATGATCCAGTACCTGCAGTCCTGGTTTCCAGGGTGGGGTGGCTGGTATGGCGAGTCTCAGAGTCCTGAGCCAGGCGTGGAGGGCCCGGGCGTGGTGCCTGAAGGGCTGCTTCCTGGCCAAGAGACGTGGGACATACTGGGTGAGAGATAGCATTGGGTACAGGGGTGTAACATCTGGCTGGGGTCACCTCTTTTCAGTGTTCCATTTGCTTTATTGATAGCACAATTGCTGAATCCATTTTGAATTAACTGACCAAATGAATGTTTGAGTTTTTAATATAGATGCTTTTTTATTTTCAAGCACATAAGAACAGTTTCAAACGATATTAAGCCCTTTGTCACATACAGTTTCTAGTAGAAAAACACTTGGCTTTTTCAGAAGTATCCTCTTCTATGCCAGTGTTCTAATTGTGTAGTTTATAGTTTGTTTTTTTTTATACCAAAATCCTTCACTTGACTAAATTAAACATCTGCCATATATATGCACAATCAAATTTTATTTTGATATTTCTGATTTTGTTTGCTGCTTCTACAGTGCTTACCAGTCCTCCTAATATATCATCATAACATTTGATTTTACGGACTGTACCAGAATGTAGATCTTTGATATAAATTGGGAAGAGCAGTGGTCTTAATACAGATCCCAGAGGTACTCCACTAATGACACTAACCCAGTTTGAACACTCACTCCATAGTTGTGCCTCTGTTTTCTGTTTATTAACCAATTCTCAAATGCATGCATTTTTCCTGAATGCCTACCTCCTGTGGTTTGAAAATTAATTCTTCATGAGAAACTTAATCAAATGGCTTCTGAATGCATAACTTCTCTACTTCTAGATGCATCATATCATGTTCATGTGTATCAAATGCTTTTGAAGTATAACATGTTATTTCAAACATAATAAACATTAAATACAATAAATATATGTCTTCTTGACAGTATTTATGTGCTGTTTAACCAGGAACTTGGTTCAGTTGCAAATTATATTTTTCAGCGGATACAGAAGAACTCTTTGACCCTCTCGAAGACTCCCAAACTCTGAACAGCGTCACTCGGAGGGACCATCTCTTTGCACGGTTGGACTTCCTGCTGGAGAAGGGAGAGATCACCCTTCTCCACCGGGACAGGAGGAGCCTCTTGCCCCAGGAAACTGGATTCATCCAGTTGGAGTTTTCAGGTATACAGCTGAAACTGATGCTCTGTTTCAAACATGCACCCTAATCCTATAAACTGATATCTTTGTCTCACGGCCCCTGTAGATCGCTAGAACCCTGCTTCAGTCCAGTTCCATGTGGCTTCTCTGACAATCCCATCTCAATCCTTGCAACCAAAAGCATATCAGGGTCTAGAACCCTATAGGTTCATAATGCATAAAAGTAGTACTATTTTCTAAAGAATCTAATTTTTGTATGATTAATATGTAGCCAGCAGGCCAGTGTGGCCTCATGTACTCATTGTGCCCATGTTTGAGAAATATGAACCCTGAACCATTTTAAATGTTCCCCAAAGTGCTTACTAATATGCATTTTTAACTACTTCAGAGTACTCAATTCACATTTCTATGATTGCACATGGTGCATTTGAGTGCTTGACAGATTGTCTCCTTTCAGGGGTGAAGATTGGAGTGGAGTCTCTTCCTCGCACTGAGTCCTCACTGCTTTCCGTTAAGCTTGAGGGGCTGTTTCTCAGAGACCTTGCCACACAGGGCACCATCTTCCCTTTCCTTGTGTCCCCTAAGCAGGTGAGAGCGGTGAGCAGGAGGAAGGTGGCATGCTAGCTAATTATTTGTAGAGCTATGCTCGGTCCACAGTGCATTGCATTATAACTATGCGTTAATTATGGTGCATCTTCATGGAGATTACAGAATAGTATCAGATGGGCTATAGTATCTGCCAGTGAGTAAAAGTATCACTTTGCATCTTCCATTACACAAAGATGTAATTCCATAAGTATTCGGTCTAGTTACACACAGCTTCTCAATGTTTTTTATTCTAATTAATTTTTATTTATATGCTTTGTTATTTATTCTTGTTCAACATGTTCTTCAGAAGTAATCCAAGGGAACGTTTAAGAATCTGAACAAAGGAGATGTTCATTCACATTTCTGAGTTAAAGTACATGAGGCATGCCGAGTCTGAAAAACATGTTCAATGTTATTTGTGTGCCAAATGTCTTGATAGTTCAAAACATGATTGAATAATCCTTATATATAGTCCTCAATCAGTTTAAAACCGGCTAAAGAATATATGACTGATTCCATATACTCTGTTAGTTATAAAAATATGAAGTAATTCTTTATATTTTCAGGCGTTTTTTTACATTTTTCTAAAACTACTCAAATATTTCAGTATATTTATAAATGTTACTGCTTAAAACAATAAAAAAAACTTTAATTTTAAATTGAAGTTCTTTTGACCATTTTTACCATTCTTAGAACAAGGTTGTTGGGGCATTCAATCAACCGTTTGGCCCAGCTAGTGGTTCAGATGTTCCTGTATCAGGTAAGACTGTTATGTTGTATTCATTGCAAAGCACGTTCATTTTTTCTTCCTGAAGTCAAATTAGTTGCAGTGGTGTATTTGCAGGACTTCATATCTAATTCTTCCTTGCAGAACAAGTCTATGATAGCTAAAATATACTTGTTATTCATCAAATTGGAAATTGGAAAGTGCTTCAAAAAAAGAGACCCCCATGGACCTAAAAAAACGTATTGAAACTTGGGCGTGTGTCATTCTCCTTTATCCTTGCATTTTATTTATTTATTTTTTATAGGGAGTTACTTTTGTAAGAAAAATCTTTAACATCGTGTTACTTACCATTGCAGTTTTCCTTGAAACGAAAAAATAAACTTTCTCCTGTACGGTTCACACGGAGAACACAAGAAGTCACATTTTTTTAAATTTTATTTGCTGTGTTTACAAAGAAAGATACACTCTTCCAAACAATGATGTGCTTGTGAAGAAAAGGAAATCGAGATTAAATTGTAGGTAAGCCACTGATGTAACAGTTTCCTTATCCCATTCTGTAGTTTGATTCATTGCCTGCTTTATTCTGTTATGGTCTCAGCCCCAGATGTGGAGACTACAACGCCCCCTGTCTTTGAAATGATTTATGAGCGCAACCCAGCAAGAAACAACTTTGAGAGGCGCCTTGAGGTCACCACGAGTCCTCTTAACATCATCTACAGCCCACAGGCAATCAAGAAGGTGGCTGACTTTTTCTACAAAGGTCGAGTCCACACTTCAGGTACAGTAGGTCCATACGCTAAGGCTCGGGATGAGATACCAGAAATTCTGGATTTAAGGACTTAAATTTACAGTTCTATATAAAATGTTTCAAAATAAATAATTGCATTTATATGTGGTTTCCCCATCACTGTGTTTTATATCCAAAATGTGCCGAAGAAGATGACAACAAAGTAACGGTACTTTCAGGGAAGGACATTTCTTTCTCACATAGAACATTGCAACCATTCTGTGCAGACATTGTATCAAGAAGTGAAACACATGCAAGAAAATAAATGTCGATTGACTTACATTTTTATTCAGACATGTAGAGGCAACACTTCTAGAATTTGGATTAAAATGTATTATGTATCATGTAAGATACCTGTCTGTCCTGTAATGCAATTTTCTTTAACTTGTTAACTTCTTATTGTATCAAGAGGTCCTCTGATCATTTTAGTGCCTGGCAGGTAATGCACTATGCTTCATAAACTTGGACATATTCTATAAAGACATAAGGTGGTTGTTTCTTATTGTTTGGATGATAGCTACTCATTTTACTCTTCCCAGGATTTGGATATCAGTCTGAGTTGGAGCTCAGGGTAGCAGAGGCAGCCAGGAGGCAGTACAACAAGCTGAAGATGCAAACAAAAGCTGAGATCCGGCAGACAATTGATCAGCTCCTTGTGGGAGAGTTTATCGTAAGGCAGCCCTCCTAACTGTATTTTACTTAAACAAGATAATGTTAATTCCTTGCACCTATATAGATTTGATGTGGCTTCTTTATAGAGCTCTGTTTTGATTTTGGACAGTTCTTTGGATAAGCGCAAAAACACATCTGTTTTTCTGGGTATAAAAGTATTTATAAGATGCTGCTTACAACAGACCTTCAGTGCAGTCAAGTATGAGTTCATTCATTTAATGTTGGATACAAAAAAATAATTTAGCTACAGGTGTAATTTGTTGACAAATTTGATGTTTTTGACAAGTGGGTCAGCAGCTTGCAAGTATTTTTCCTTTGATTATGCTGTAATTCTAGGGAATAATAAATTTGGCTTTCAAGATATGACTAATTAGATGTACTGTGTTGAACTGCAGCAGCTCTGTGCTTTTGTGACTAAAAAAATAGAAATTAATGAGTATAATGCCACAACTAAAATATGTAAGAACAAAAGACTTAAAACAAATCTCATAATAGTAACTGCACATCTCTCGGGTGAGTGCTATGCTTCCATGGTAGATTAAGGAGTCTCCTTCTGTTTGATGTATTAATTTGTTTTGGGGGTTAGCTTAAGGCTGTTGCTGTCTAATTAAGAGAGCGTGTTACACCCACAGTGTATACTTCTCCTTTATAGTTCTAGCAGTTATCCTCAGGTTCACTGTGTCTGTTTAATTTTAATGATCGAGGTGGTAGTTCAATCCTCATTCATCAGCCACCAAGGTTTCAGCAAGTAAGCAGAGTATTCTCAGTTGAGTTTTTTACAGAAGCAATTAAAGCAAGACCACTAATAAATCTTGTGTGTTTAGAGTCTCCTTTGGCTTTGACATTTTACCATTTAGTGCTGCTGTTTTGTACCTCTGCCTCATCAAACACACACACATTTATGGCCTTAACCCTGAATTGCTTAGGCTTTGCATGGAATGTTGTGGCTGTTCTGATTTCTAATCTTATTTCTCCTTGTAGGAAAATAGTAAGCGCTGGACCCTGAAGCTGGATATATGCGCTCCTCAGGTGATCTTTCCTGATGATTTCCAGTCCAAAGACCCCATGTTGGTTGTAGTGGATTTGGGGAGAATTCTTCTCACCAACTCACAAGGTACCAGACTGTTAGCTTTTCTTTTCTCTTTGTAGTGTGTATTTTAGGTACTGCTTTTACACATCACTTAGAATTGTAAAATCTCTTTTCTAGTCATTTAAAAAATATGAGTAGAAAGTACAGTGCCTTGCAAAAGTATTCAGATACTTGCAGTCTTTACATTTTGTTGCTTTAAAGCTTGACACCTTGGAATTAGCAATTTATGTTTGTTACATTAACAACATACTTCCAAGCAAAACAAAAAAAAGTGTATATACTTAACTAATATGAAAGGAAAAATGGATTACATCAGTATTCAAACCCTGTACTGCGACAAACCTAAATTAGTGGTTCTTATGATTTAATAATAAAAACAGTTGTTTCTGTTAGATTCCTTAGATGGGTAGTAGATTTCAAGCAAAGATGAATGAATACTAGAGAGCTTTCAAAGAAAGTCAAGGATAAGGTTATTGAAAAACACAGATCAAGAGAAGCTTACAATAAAGTCTCTGAATACATGAACACAGTCTTCTTAATTATCTAGGCATGCGAGGTGCATTATACCACCCAGACACTGCCTACATCAGACCTGAGCAACCTCCAACCTAAGCAACTGGGTGGGAGGAAACTGAACATTGAACAACAGAGCTTAATGTTTGAGTTGGGAGAAAATATGGATCATTTAACTATATTGAAGACACCTCAGGAAACTTACCTCAATTTCCTCATAGGGTTTGCAAAAAGTATTTAGGTCATATTTCAGATGTATAGTAAGGAGTTTTCTTGCCAGATGAGATAGAATTTTGTAACCCCCGAAAGTCTTCAGTTTGGTCATTTAGGTGTTGAATATAAAAATTAAGTTATAAAATGTGTATGCAGCATTTTGAGATTTCTCAAAATGGAACCCCATAGAAAGGGCTTGAATGCTTTTTCAAGGCACTGTATTCTGTTCTGATTTTATAAAACATAGCTATATAATAATGGAAAAGAAGAGCATTTGCAAGGTTTATGCTTTTATTCTGCTGCTTTTCTTTCCCTTTTTTCCCATATAGAAGACCTCAAAACAAAGTCGAGGATAACCCCGATGGAAGGAGAGGAGTTTAGTGACGATGAGTACCAGACACCTTTAGCTACACCCCCAGGATCTCCTCCCCCTGAGCCAGAAATAGAGGTCAAAGATGAAGGCAAAAGTCCTGACCACTCCACGTTGGAACTGGCTGAGAAATTTCCTCCATATTGTTGGAACCTGTATGAGAAATACTCCCTGTCTTTTTTAGACCTTCAAATTATGGTTGGTCATTACAAGGACAATTGGAAGCACCTACAGGAGAGTGAGGTAGGGCCCACACATGTGGTGGAGAAATTCAACGTCTTACTACAGCTTGAACAGCGGCTTCGCTACACTTCAGATCCTCAGCTTCCTGGGGCCGTACTATCAGGGACCCTCCCTGATCTCAAAGTGCATATCAACCTGGAGAAGGTGGCAGCCCTTCGGAGTTGTCTGGCCCGTTTGAACAGTCCAGACACACAAGAAATAGGTTCAGCAAAAACTGGAGACAGCAATAAGTCTTCTGATCCTTTGTTTTTGCGTCATGAGAGAATCTTCCAGAAGGATGAAAACCAGTGGAAGATGCAGGGATCAACCAAGAACCTTACCCAGAGCGTCATGACTCTTGAGCAGCACACCAGAGAAGTCCTGGTGGAGTCTAGACTTCTCCTTGCCGAGTTCAACATCAACTATATGCAGCTAGGTGTGGAGAGTGGTGGCCGTTACATCTCTGTTTTAAAAGTCTTTGGAACTAATGCCCACTTTGTGAAGCGGCCCTATGATGCTGAAGTCTCTCTCACTGTCCATGGACTCCTCTTGGTGGACACCCTCCAAACATATGGATCTGATTTTGACCTCTTGGTGGCTTCTCACAAGCATCTCAGCTTTGATGTCCCTACTGGCATCCTCCGGGAGAGTCAGCCACAGTCCCCTGTTACCCCTGACTCAAAAGCACCGGATTCATCTGCTATTCATGGTAGTTTCCCTCCTGGCGTCTCCTTTGATAAGATCTCACCTCTTCCTTCTGTCTTTAAGAACGAGGAAGCTCTCATCAAATTGGAGTACCAATTTGTTAGTTCCGACTGCCCATCTATGAACCTGGACAGTTCCCTTCAAGTGACCACCGTGCAAGTAAACAACCTGGATATTATCTTAAATCCAGAGACGATGGTGGAGCTTCTTAAATTCCTCCAGAAGTCGTTTCCCAGAGAGAAGGAGGAAAACAACTGGAGTTATTTTGCCCAGCAGCAGTTACCTCAGCCTCATATTGATGGTATGGGTCCAGAAGAGGTCTTCCAGTCTACATATGACCAGAACACAGAGGTGACTGTGGAAATTCACAGGCTGAATGTACTGCTCCTTCGTACTGTGATCACAGGTGCCGTGCTAGGTGGAGAGAAGAAAGGGATGAAGATTGCCACAGCTAGTGTGAATGGGACAAAAGTGAATGTCTCCATGGGAGGCCGACTGGATGTCAATGGGTCCCTTGGATCCCTACAGCTGGTGGATTTGACTCAGGAAGGTGGCAAAAGTCAATTTGTCATCAGCATTGGAAATGTGGAAAATGCTTCGAATTTTCCAGCGATGGATTTCTTTGACGTTGCTGGCACACCCTCGGAAGCCTTGAGGTTTCATCTTCTGGAAAGGACACGGGAAGAATGCTCACTTGAGCTTCAAATGGCTTCCTTGCACTACAACCATTCTGCCAAGTTCCTCAAGGAGCTCAGTCTGTCTGCCAATGAGGTGGAGGACAACTTCCGGTCCATGTTGAAGAGTGCAGCCTCTAAAGTGTCCACTGTGCTAGTCTCCAAAACTGCAGAGTACAGTGGCATGGTCTCTCTTTTTGAGACCCCATTGAAGAAGACCAGAGGGAGCTTCCCTTTTGAAGACGATGAACTTGAGGAAACCGAGGAGGAGCCCAAGTTGGATGCCTTCACTGTCAAGCTTATTCTCAATGTCAGTATTGATTCACCTGTGGTTTCCATTCCACGAAAGCCAGGCCACTCAGAGCTTTTGGTGGGACACTTAGGGAGCATCACCATCCGGAACTTTGTGGCTGGTCAAGACAGCTCAGAGGGAAACAGGCTACAGGTAGAAGTTAGAGACATTAGGCTTTACTCCCTTAACACCAGCCACCTGGACTTGCGTAAGGCTCCTTGTGGTGACCGCAGCCTGTCTTCCAGCTCCGCTTCCCACAATGGCAGTATCAATCAGGAGGAGCCTCAGTTCACCCGCCATGACTTTTTTGAGTCACTGAACCTTGGAAAAGGTGAGCAATGTGATACAGATATATATCTGAGATATATCACACACACCAAGGGCTGATATTACACAGATAACATAGAATACATTAATAATGTATGGGTAGTAATGCTTTATAATGGAATGCGAGAGATTTAATTTGCATTGATCCTATCTAAATTGCTTTGCAGCCTTTCACATATTGAAAGACACCACCATCCAATTCACCCTAGAGAAAGTCCCCATTGATGAAGACTCGCAGCTTTCCTTCCTGTCCTCTGAAGAGTCCTTTCGTAGCACAGGCCTGCTAAAAATAGAGGGGAAATTTGTCAATACTGTGCAGGTAAACTGGCATTTCCCTCTTTAATTGGATGTATTATTTGTTTTTCTTGCTCCGTGTACCTTTTCCATTTCATGAAAGTCTGTTACTTCTGTAAACTTAGCTTTGATAGTTTTCTGTAATGTATTACACTTAAGAGCTGATGAAGCTAACAGCAGGGGAGCTCTGCCTGTACCTAATGACTGGCAATAGTTTTTTGTAATTTGTAATGCCTTGCTGTGATGTCACCCTGAAGTGCATTCTTGACATTTGCCACTTTAAAAAGTAAATTAGCAATTTTGGATTCCTTCCATTTTAGCATTGGACTATTCTACTTATCCTCACTTTTGTAAACTTAATGAGCATTGAGATTCCACATCTCAGAGGGGGTCTCTGTTTGCTATATGTTTCAGTCTATTTCTACTGTATTTCCTTATTTCAGTAGTGTCTTTATTACTGGAATTCACTTAAACCCTACTGCTTCATTTTTATTGTCTTCCTCTTTAAAGACCTGATTTAGTCTACTAATAGCGCCAATCATCTGAGATAGAAACTATGTGCAGGTGTGTTTGATAAGCATACTGTATCTTAGAGCCTGAGTGCTTCAAGGGAGTTAGCTCTTATTAAAGGCAAGTGTTATTTCAAGATGTTGGAGACAAAAAAATAAAGTACTGTACAAGCGATTTATGAAAGATTTGTCTCAAAAAGTGTAGAGTAGATCAAATAACAGCTGTAAAGTGTTTAAAATATGTATACAGACCAAATTAAATTAAGCCTGAAATTGTAGCATATTACAGCCATGCACATCTTGTTGGTATTGTTGAAATGTATCTTGTCATGTTAATCAATTCCTTTCTCTCTCACAAGGTGGCACTAACGCATTGCTCTTCTGATTTCCAAGCTGTGCTTGGCAGGCAAGGCTGATTTGTAGGAAAGCATGAGCCTCTTAATTTTATTCCCTTCAGGTCTGAAATATAGTATTGATTAGTCCAGCATTGTGTAGTATTGTTGTGAAACAGCTGTGTGCTCATTAAATATTTTAATAACAGCAAATATACATAAATAATTTCTAACATGTTTTGTAAATGGAGAACAGTGATTAGGCCATTCCTACTATTCCATAAATTAGGTAAATATTTGACATAATAATTATTTTATCTTAAACGTTTTGAGGTACTTTTGAATTAGCTCTACAAGTTTAAGGAGAATCCTAGTTTCTAGTCCATCTGACTACATGCTGATCTTTTTTCTGTGCACCTGAGTTTCTGCTTTGCAAAATACAAAGCAGCTGCATAGTACTGGTGTGCAAATGAAGTGAATGAAACCAGTCAAAAGTATTCTGTACAGCTGAATACATGTTTCCATGTTTTAACAAAAAAGCGAGGGTCACTCAGCAAGTAATGTAAATTATTTTTTAAATAATTAAAGGAAATGGATGCAACTTGTGGTGCTGTAAGATTAAACTTCCCCACTTCTTGTTGCTGAGTGTTCCTTCAGAGTCCTTCAAAATTGTTAGTTATCATATTTTAAAACCTTTCTGAGTGACCCTCGTGTTACTAATCTACATCAGCGATTCGTAATTCATTCTTGAGAGCAGAGGAACCTATAGATCCTAATCCACAAAAGCTTAACTGAATTTATTAGTCTCCTATTAATTCCTTAAGCATTTTTCCAGGTGCAAAGTCCCAAATCACGATATTTTTTTGGTAAAGAGGGAGATTTTTCGTTGTGAGGTCGTGTCGCAATAATATTCTTCCATATCCTCCCACCAGGTGTCACTTGCGAAGCCTGTTTATGAGCAGGTCCTCCAGACCTTGGACAATCTCACCTTCACTGAGGACCATCGAGCGACACCCAGCCAGCCCCCCACCCCTCCGCCCCCCACGCCTTCCTGCTCCAAACCGCTTCGCTTTCCTGACCCCCAGGGGGGGCTCTTCGCACGAGACCCCCCCTCCACAGGCCTGTCCTATTCCTCCCTGTCCACCCCCACGCCTCTCCGACCTCTCTCCCCTCCCAGGCAGCCCCCCTCCTTCACACAGATCAGGGCCACCTTCCGGGTGGCACAACTCCAAGTGCAGCTGAGCGCCGACCTCAGTCGGGGATCCCAGGGGCTAGTCAGCCTCTGCTTTCAGGACTTGGAAGGAGAGTTTACTAAAGATCACCCCCAGTCCTTGGCGGTGCAGCTGACCTTACGCTCTCTGCTGATGGAAGACCTTTTGGAACCCAACCCCGATTCCAAATACAAACATCTCATGGTATCCCGGGGAGCCCCAAAACCCTCTACCTTCAGTCCCAAGGAGTACCTCTCGCAGTCTTGCCCATCACCTTCCAATGCTCAGTTCCCAGACATGCCGCGCTCCCTTCCAGCCCAGATGGAAGAGGCCCAGAATGTGTTCCAGTTCTACCAGAGGCACCCCAGCACCCCAGCCGCTGGGACAAGAAAGAATAAGGAGACTCGGGCTTGTCCGAGCACCCCACCACCCTCCCCCTCCCGCAACACTCCTTCCCCTCATCCTGAGCCTCCCTTTGATGACTCGCTGGTCCACATTAACATCCTTCTGGTGGACAGGCACCATCCAGAGTTCCAGAGCCGCTATGGGAGCATTGGTCGCAGTGTGGACGTGGACTTCAACTGCTTGGACGTCCTCATCACCCTGCAGACCTGGGTGGTCATCCTGGATTTCTTTGGTATCGGCTCCACCGCCAACAACCACGCCCTGAAAGTGCCAGCTTTTTCCCCCCAGCCCATGCCTGGGCATCCTCTGTTCTGCCCCTACTCTACAGCTCCCTGCGACGAAGTATCCGCTGATGATGAGGAGGAAGTGGAGAAGAAGGTCAACACCAAGGTGGATCTAAAGGTAATGAACTGAATCTAACATAAAAGATGAGAATTTGGTCACACATTAAGAAATATTGCTTACCTCCGGGTTTCTTGTTTAGGTCCACGCGCTCTCTCTTGTCCTGAATAAGAAGACCAATGAGCTTGCCAAGGCCAGTGTCTCCAAACTGTCTGCCCACCTGGAAATGATTGGTACATAATTTAATTTATTTCTGCTGTGTTCATTACAGTTGATTACAGTTGATTTTGTTCTGAAACACTCAAGGAAACAAGATCTTTTTACTTTCATTGTTTTTATTTGCAGTAATATTCTGCCTGAAGAGAACTTTGTAGTTTGCTTATGGAGACTTCAAATACCAAATATGGTGTAGTCTTGATATTCATGAGATTTCAGCGCAGAAAACCTTCCTGAAGATCCAAATTTGCACATCAACAAGTCCTCTCCTATACCGTTGCATAATGTACTAAAGTATACAATATATGCGTAAAAGACATAACCCACCCTTATGTGATTATTAAAGCACTAATATGTTTGTTTTGAGTTCATTTCAATAACTTTGATCGAGTAAAGGAAATAATAGTAATCAAAAACTTATAGTAATCAGCTGAAATAAAAATGAATCCTTTCTCTACATCCAGCCTGCACTTTTTCACTCTGCCTCCATGATTACACACTGCACTGTAATGAAACGGGCAATAAAACTGTCAGAGAGCCTGTAAAGTTGTCTCCAGCCTGTCATTCCCCATAACACTGACGCAATCGGGAGTGTTTGTTGAAAGATAAAAACGAGACCATGCTGAGCTGCGAATGCTGGGGTAGTGGGTACTTGGGCAGGGCTCATAACTGAGGGGGCAGGGGCAGGGAGATGCTCACTCACTAGCTGGGTTCGTCTCTCAATCCTAGTCTGTTGTGCCACTAATTCAAAAGAAGTAGGATAAGATCACTTTATTGGCCATATACAACTTCCTGTATTAGGAATTTGTCTTTTCGCATACCCCAACTTGCTCTACATGAGGCACACAGACAGGGAGAGAAGCTTGGGGTCAGAGCGCAGGGTCAGCCATTTATACGGCGCCCCTGGAGCAGTTGGGGTTAAGGGCCTTGCTCAGGGGCCCAACGGAGTAGGATTCCTCTGCCGGCCGCGGGATACGCAGATCCTTAGCCAACCTTCAGCTCAGTTTCATCCTGCTCTCCTCTTCATCCATTCAAGACCCCATTGGCTTATTTGAATTGCAAATAAGTAAATTTGAGAATGTTAAATTTGCAGATGTCAAGGCCCTACTGTATATACAAAACTCACATACGGCACATATGTAGCTTTCAGTTGCATTATCAAAGAACAGCGAGTTACTCCTGCCAGTTACTCTTGTTTTGCCTTAGGACAGATGTCACATGGCACAAGTTAAGCTTAAACTGATATCCTATTTTATGTCTCTGTTGTCCTCCATGCCCCAGGCCTGAGGACACCTTGTGGTAGCAGCCCTATTTTGTATGTTGCAGATGGAGACCTGGTGCTGCAGGGGAGTCTGGGAAGCCTGTCTCTGAGTGACTTGACTCCTCATGGGGATTTGTACAGGGAGCGCTTCACTACGCGAGGGGGCGAGGCACTTGTCTTTGACATCTACAAGTAATTCTCTCGGACTTGCATTTAATAATGGTTTGCAGTTAAGAACGAACACAGTCATGGTGCTCCTAATATCTGACTGTTCTTTTCAACTTTGGGTGTGAGTTGTTTTACAATATGAGTTGGATATTAGTTCCCACAACACAGGGGAATATTTGCGTATAACATTGTTCATAATCTTTGAATATGGGGAAGTGACACTGCCCTTTTTTATCCCAGTCTTTCCATAATTTTTCCTCTGTTTTAACTGATTTGTACCATATGGTGCAGAAGCACTATTCTTTCTCTCTTAAGCAATTCGGAAGGCTGGGATTCTTGACTTTGAAAGAACATTAAATCCAACTGGGGCTCAACAATTAAAAAATGCAGAGTTAGTTCAAGTTTTTTTTTTCCAAGAAGCTTCTGTGTGCAAAAGTGTTAATATTTTGGAGAAAATCACAAAAATACAATTAGCAGCCATCCTCATGAATGTTTACGGCTGGAATTTGCATGTGTTGATGTGTTGATTGAAGAGCAGACTGTGTTTATTCCGTGTCGGGTGCAGATGAGGAACAAACATGAGCAGTTGTTATCAAGGGGGGGGGAAGCTTAGTTAAATAAGAGGCCTTTTCAACAGAGAACCAAGGATCTCCTGGGCTGGCTGATGGGTTTGCACTGGTGGATACTGAGAAAATGCTACTCTTTGTTTCATAGGTATGGAGATCCCGACCCCTATCTGCAGCGAGAGTGTGATATGAAAGTGTGCTTGCAGATGGCATCAGTGCAGTACGTCCACACCCAGCGCTTCCAGGCTGAGGTGGTGGCTTTCATCCAACACTTCACTCAGCTGCAAGATGTCCTTGGCAGGCAGAGAGCAGCAGTGGAAGGCCAGGCTGTACGTACCCACACCACAGGATTCTATTTAGAATCAAATGCGTTTTGCAAAGACCAGTTCCTACATGGAAAAAGCTCAGTTCTGGGTCAGCATAGTGAAAGGATTTTTTTTTTAAAGAAAATATATTTAAGCTCTTCTCCAGCACGGGTACGCCCAATGCAGATTTGATTATGCACGGAAAAAGCAATAGGAAAAAATATCCATTGAATGGGGAAAATCTGGCTACGTGCAGTTATGTGCACTAATGTACATTAATGTTTATTAATTTGCCATATGAACAGTATTTGTTTTATGCTTTTATTATACAATATTGTTATTACATTTTAATTTCCTTTACTGTTCAGTATAGGTAGTGCCAAAAATCGTATGTGTATATATAGGTATTGATGGATGACTTTACATGGCTTCATTTCTGTATCCCTATTAATTACATCAGGTCACATTTCTCCAACACAGATTTGACTTACAATACACTTTGGAGGAACATAAGCCCTGTGTTGGACAAGGGTCAAGTGTATTTACAATCTCCAGTTATGAGCCATGTCCCTCTTTAACAGTACTATTGTGTCTGCAAGAGAGGAGGCTTTAATGGTCATTGTGTCGCTTGGACTTGAGAGAGCGATGACTGACTAATCCCAACCCACTCTCTACTGCACGTAGCCAGTTGTATCACTCAGAAGTCGGAGAAAACTGGGATGAGCTCTGGCTTGGCGAGTTGTTATGGTTCCGATATAAATTTACCTTTACTGATAGCCTAGCTCAAGCTCCAGATGGTGCTGCCTGGATCAGAGGTGCAACCAATATTCCAAATGTGTGCTTTTGCCAATTGAATCACTTGGGATGTTGTTTTTTCCACCTTGTCACTTCTCTTCTGCTCTTTCTAAGACTGTTGGTCTCATACATAGGCAAACAGCATAAACTGAGCTCAGAGCCATGTCAAACACTTCTTTCACATGAGCTTAGCTTGTTGCTGTTGCATATTTCTTTTCCCATGATGAAAGTGGACATAGGGCTTAATATTTCACAGGCTTATTATTTAGATGGATGGGATTAATCCCCAGTCACTGCATGAAACGGTGATTTATAGTCATTCAGTTCCAGCTTTATATGGGGTCTATAAACCTCAAGTAATGTGGAAGATTTAGAGTGAGGAATTAGCTTGTTGATATAAGTCCTTCCTCCCTTTAGTAACATGTGAATGAGACAGTTATCCATGAAGACAGATAAATCTTACCAGGAGCTCTGAGTGAAATATTACTAACAGGCCAAAGTCTGGAGTAACCATTTATATGTGTACCCCAAAATCTTCTTCTGACAGTACTAAAGACCTGGCTTTAAGCAGTTCAGCATTGTCCCCTATTAAACATACATCAGTTCACCCTCCTACAGACACACAACAAAAGGGTTAACCCTTTAAAAAGCAGCTTGTCTCATTAAAATTTTATTTTTTAATTTGATTATTTGCAACTTAGTAGCTTTGTATTTTCAAGTATGAAAGAGAAGATGTAAAGATGTGATGTACATTAAGGAAACAGTTTTTTTCCATAATAATATGCTGTAGTTTTAATATCTGTGCAAGACCTAAAGCTTTCTATGGTACATTTCCTGTGAGTCAGCTATAAGGTGCTTACCACAAGATTTACTGTAGCATATGTTCTGCCTGCATAAGATCTTGCAACTTAGGAATGCACAGTAAAATGTTTCCTAATTCCTTGTTATCATAATGTCTGTTTATTTTTTACACTTTTACTGATATGATTTGTATACTGTCCCTTAAAACCAAATTCCGATGACACATAGCCTCTTGCTTAATAGTTTTGAATTTGTGCATTATGGTCTTTCCGGAAGGTAATCTGTATATATTATTTTCAACAAAAGCTTTAATTATTCCCTTCTAGCCTTGGTTTGGCTTTTAAGAGTTTCAGATGTGATTGAAACTAAATCGCAGCTGGAATGTTCAGTCCTCACTTAGTTGATGCAGTTCTGAAACATGAGAAGATTAGGCAGGCTTATGTCCTGAATGCAATCCAGGCTGATCTGTGAAATGGGTCACTCTCCCGGCCTTTGACAAGGCTTTTTAATATCTGTGCTCCAGATTTTAAAGTGCTTTGACCTGAAAAAAAACATTATGCTATCTGTAAAACAAAAAACAGTCTTATGAATGATTAAGCAGATGCGTGACCATGAGAATCATTAGACATCAAGTCATGGTTGTAATGGTCATGGTCAAGTCAAGAGCAAAATGAGATAAGAAAACTAGATTTTACCAAATATAAAGCTGTTTACCAGTTTGTCCTGGATATTTTGAATTGCGTATTTCATTTTTTGAGGAAGGAAAGTGGCAGTGTTTTGTAGCGTTGGTCCAAATAGGATTTTTATTATAATGGCACAGTGATGCATTGAATGTCATGAAAATACCATATTCTTGTGTATTTCTTCATAACTGCAGTTGTGTAGGCCTTCTCTGGCTTGTACTAGCATACTTGATTGGCATGGCGAGGAAAACATCTATTGCATGCTTATAACACAGAGGAAAGCATCAGATCACAGATAACTGGTTTGATTCCGGAGAAGCTTATTGCGCTGTGAAGCCCACTGCTTTTTAAAGGAATCTCATCAAGTCAGTTTGCACAAGTTTTCAACACCGGGGTTTGGAGATTTGTCTTTGATTTTTCGTTTCAAAGCCGATGGTAGTTCCCTTCTGCCTTTCTTTTTCCCGAAAAAAAGAAACCCCCTTTCTCCCCGTCTGTCCCCGTGCCAGGTGCGCGAGCGGCCACAGCGTGCCAGCCGGGTGCTGCTGGACATTCAGGCAGGCGCCCCCGTGCTCCTGATCCCCGAGAGCGCCCGCTCGCCCCGGCTCATCGTGGCCAACCTGGGCCAGCTGCGGGTGCGCAACTGCTTCCTGCGGGCCGGCTCCCGGGGCACCTTCTCCCTGCGAGACAAGGTAGAGAAACTGACCATGGTCCATGCCTTTTTCCCCTCTCTGGTGAGTCCTGCCTTCCTGCTTCCTGCTCGGCGGCTTGTCCGCACCTCCGTCGCCTGGCGTGCTGTGCCTCTGCATCTTCCTCTTGGATTAGCAAACTTCTGGCCTCACTCACAAGTTCTCCGTGAAAGCTCATATCTGTGTTTAATCCCCTCTGGATCGCCAGGTTGGGTGTTCCTGCTGAGGCAGCAGAGAAATGTGTTTTGTTGAAATTAGAACAGCAAGGAGAGAACATTAAGGACAGATGGTTCCTTCCTGTGTAGAGAATAATAGTAAGAGTTTTTTTTTTCCAAATTCTTATTTTAGTTCAGATGCTTTGACCTCATTTTTATTAAAACATTTCTGTATTGGAACACAGGTAAAACATCCTTTGTCATTCAAAGATCTCTATAAATCATGCATATCTGGAGCCATGTCAAAACTGATTGGTCCAGAATGCTTTTTGTTTTTAGGTTACATTTTGATTGTGGCTACTTTTTTATTTTTTCATTTATTTTCCTTATATATTTTACTTCCATTCTTGTATCAGTTGGTGCCAGGTATCATGTTATTCTCCCCTCTCAAAAGTAAATTCGTTTTTTTCAAATTCATATATGAACCATGTACGGAATGACAATAAGTGATCCCTTGTTATGTTTTTTTTTTTCATTTCTAACCGTGACAACACCATTTTTGTTGAAGAATTTGATTTTGCATGCAAATTCCTACAAGGATCCTGTCCATTTCAAGGTACCAGGGCATGGGTTTTGTGTGTAATATTTGACATTTGTGGTGTCACCTTAGATTTCTGAATGAAAGGCATTGTATCGTGGTCACCTTCCTTCAGGAGAGTGGGTTTCTTCTTGCTTTCCATGTGAAATACACTCAGTTAGTATAGCCTATGGCTGCTGTTGTCCCAACTTCTGCAACAGTGAACTCCTTGGTAAAGGACTGCTAGATGTACATCATGAAAAACCCCACCGACATATGCAATAGGATGTGTAGAACAGTAAATTATAAACACTGCATTTCACCTCTTCCATTAAGTGTTCTGTGTATTGTTTTCTTTCATAAGTCATTTTCGGTCCTATTCTTACTATTCCAATAGGTATAAGTCATTGATTGCAAATATATTTTTCAAATTTACTCCATACAGAAACTCCAAGGCCTATTAGTAAAGCTTGTACATGCTTATAACGTTGATGTACTTCTGTAGCTCATTTTATCTTAGTCTTATGCCAGAGGTTATTACATTTTTCTTTTTGCTGGGATTGTTGTCAAGGACAGTAATCATCAGATTCATAAGGAAGACCTTGCAGAACACACATTTTAGCCAAATGCAGCAGGCAAGAATTGAAATCGCTGGGAAACACGAAACATATTCCCTTCAATACTGTGAGACAGTATGATTCTTGCTAATGATTTGTTGAGAGTATTTACTTCCTTGTGACAAAAGCTGCACATATCGTAAAAAGACAGAAACAAGTTTCTTCTTCTACGTTAATCTTAGTATGAGGTCTGTTGTTAGCATAGAGAAAACAAATGGTTTCAAAACAGTTGAAAATTATTTCATCACTTACATTTTAAATGCCTTGACATTTTTGCTTGTTTATTATTACCAAAATTCATCACAGGGTTTGTCAGGCTTTTTCAAGAATCCCAGATGGTATAGGTTTTATTTTAATAAGCTGCTTTATTTTCAGCTAAGAATTATTGTTTACCTAGCCATACAGCATAATTCAGTATTGATTTAAATGCAAAATAGCTACTGAAGTTCTGCATGGTGTGTATTTGTTTTGATTTTGCATTTCTGGAATGGTTTTGTCATTTAACAGCAGAACTGATCTGTAAAACGACAGGGTTAAAATGTAATGTTCTGCTTTCATTGAGTCTTCTGATACAGTACTTCACCAGATTTAGGCGAGGATGTACAGTACATCAACATAATTTCTCTAACTACATATAAACTTTGCTGTGCAGAGGCACAGCATGGTATTGGGTATGATAAATATAATTTTGGAAGGTTGATGTGTTCTCATCTGGTGTTCTTTGGGGGGTGACACTAATGAACTGTGCATAGGATAACTGCAGTGTTTCCTGATACTTCATTTTATTTTCAATTACTTTTTTATTTAGTTATTTATTATTGACCAAGATGTCACCCAGATTCCTCTATTAATTAAAATAAGTATTTTATATAACTTATTATAAGAGTATTTAATAACTGAGCACTCTTCAGCTCATCATTGTTAAGGCTTTTTTTGGTTGAATAAAGGGTTAAAGTACAAATTTCAACAGTCTTCCTAAACTCATAGCTAACTAAGTCTACACAAAAACAAGCATCTTATAACTTGGTAAATGATATTGGCTGCTGAATTGCGTTGGTGCTCTCGTGGAGGGCTTGCTATGGTGAGTTAGGAGTGTCTGTCTGTGGCGCAGGATCGAGACAAGAACCCTGAGAAGACGGGTAGTGAGGAGGGCCCAGCTGGCAAGGCTGGGGGGCCACGCAGCTGCAGTAGTGTGGGCTCCAGCTTCTCACTGGGCCTGGGGCGAATGCCTGAGGTTGAAGTTCCAGAGAGTCCGGGTGAGTTCTGCGCATGTTCCTTTTTTGTGTTTGCTACTAATACCATAATGACAGCGAGTACTAATACAAAATGCTTAGTTCTCTTAGTTCTGACTACTGTTCTTAGTAGAGAGTTGGTCAGTCCTGTTTTAGTGACTTACAGTTCAGGGTGCAAATGTTTTCTATTCATGTCTTGTAATATTAAGTCAGGAATGTAAAATCTTGCCTTAGGAGCTTGTTTAGATCATGCTTTCATTCAAAAAGGTTTTCTTCCATAAATAAGTGACGTGAAGAAGTTATAAACTGGTTCGTGACTTTTGATTGACCTGATGATTCAACAATGCCTAGTAAATTCTGCTGTACTGTGGTCTTCCAGGATCAGGACTGGTCACTGCTTATCTGCACGTGTTGGCCAAAATATTGGGAGTCTTTGCAAGCAGCAGAAACAGTTTGAGTTGGATATAGCATGTAAATCATAAGATTCTGAAATGTTTGCCCAGTCTCATTCCATTGTTCAGTCATGGTCATAGTCATTTAATTAAGGTTAAATGACGGTATGTGGAAAACAATTTCCCGTAGACTTGAGAGGCTTGAGATCTGGAGGTGTTTTGGTGTCGGAATGTGTCCGATAGGCTTAATGCCAGCCATCCATTGCCTGCCTCTACGAATCAGTTCATTTGACTGGGAAGTATGTTGACCAGTGAGCGTGTGATTATAACAGCTGTAAACTAAAAAACTTGTTTGCTCCCTTTTAATAGAAGATTCATCTAAATCTTATACTCTCTTGTGAATGAACAATTCTCCCTGGTTTCCTCATGTTTGTTCTCAGATGACTATGTCTGCCTATTGGACTGTATTGTGTTGGACCTGCAAGAGATGGACATCTTTGCAGCAGAGCGTCTGTCTCGAGAGGTGTGGGAGAGCAAGGAGCATCCCGACACTGACCTGCTCTTCCCTTCCTACGCTGTGCGCCGCACCGGGGGCAACCTGCTGAAGGACCGCTGCCAGCTGAAGCTGCAAGTGGAGAGAAACCTGGACAAGTGAGTGGCCAGCCCCCTCAGCTCTAGAACTCCTGCCCTCTCCCGCAGAGCCAGGTGTCCCCCGACATCTATGCACACCATTTCATCTAAGGGTGCAAATAGATGTCAGAACGGGCCAGATGGCCTCCTCTTTGGCCTAAACAACTTCTGCTCTCTTCTTTGCCGTGTGGCAGGGAGCTAAGCCATGCTGTGCCAGACATGTCCATCCACGGCAGTCTGTCCTCTGTCCACTGCTCCCTTGACCTGGAGAGATACCGGCTTATCCGTGGACTGCTGGAGAACAACCTCGGAGAGCCTGTGGAGGAGTTCCTCAGACCCTACAACCTGCAGGACCCTAGCACCTATGTAAGAAAGCTGTTCAAGCCTCCATGTACAAATGTGCTGCCTCTCGAAGAAACAAGGTGCATCTCAGAAGTAGAGATCTATAGACATGACTGTACACAGTTAGAGGGAATAGGTGTCAAAGTGTTAAAAGGTGATGTTTTCTCATGTTCCCCAGCAGCTGGACATAGTACGTTTGTTGTCTATCTGGACTGCATAGATCATGTACTGTGAAGTGTGGCTGTGATGGTCAGTTGAACCTGGGGCCTAACTGTGTACACTATGTACTGTAGACGCACACAAGTTATAGCACAAGGAGAAGCAGCTCGTTATACATACTAGGAGACTTTAATACCTCTTAGTTCCCTTACATCTGTCTTCCAGGTGTGACCCTCTAGCCATACCAGAACCCACCCATACAGGGTACAACAAAGAGTTAGCCTCTTCATAATCACCACATGACCCCAGGCCACTGTTCTTCGTTGTGGTAGTAAAACAGAAATTTAATTTTAGAGGGTTTAAATTTGATTTAGAGGGTTTGATTTAAACTAATTAAGTGTTTAACAGAAAGGAAGCCTACCCTTGCAGATTAGCTGTAACAAGATATTAGCCTATTAACCTCTTTCTTACTTCTTATTGCAGACAAAGACATCCTTGTTAGATATTTTTCTATTTTGTAAGTGGTGGCCACAAAGAGGTCATAAGATGTCAACCACAAGAGTCTTGATATAAAAGCTACTATTGATTTACCAAGCTTTTCAGCATGCCTAATAAAATTGCTAGGACTTCACGTCTTATCCTTCCCAGTATTTAATTATGTGATCTCGCTGTATCACTTGATTAGAATCTGAGATGTCCAAGCTCAGTATTGGTAGGAAGCTTTAAAATGAGGATTTTGTGCATTTAAGTGCTGTAACAAAATAGAAAGAACTAGTACCTTAGAGAATCAGGTGTATTTTTTATTTTGGATTTAATTAAATATACATTTGTCTATGCTGTACATAACAAAGATCTTTAAGCTCTTCATAAACACCGAGGCCTTCTGATATAATACACTAACTTTCCAAATCTTTAGAGAATACCCTTAATAGCAGGCCAACACACCTCCAGCTGTGGCTCGAGCTACAACGTTTTGTATCTGTAAGGAGATAAGGAGCCACACTGGTTTTCTCAAAAGATATCAAATCTGTTCATGTGGTTTAGCATTAGTGTCTTGTGCTGCAAGTTGGTGGATGCTTTTAATTTGTCACCAACTGCCCAAAAACCCTTGGGGCTCTCTGAATTGACACATTAGCTAGGCATGCTGATGTCTTACAAGAGCCTCATTATTCATCAGGCAGGCCCCTCGTGAAATATTCTCTGTTAGTCTTCTTTCCCATAAGGTGTCAAAAGCAAGTACCGTCATGCAGACTGATATTGAAAGAAAGCAACAATTCATGTTGTAAAACAGTGTGTTTAAATCTAAATATAAATCAGAATAGTAATAACTAAAAACTAAAATATTTGATTAATTCAATCTATTCCCTGCTCAGATTCTCTCTCTCTCTATGTCTGCCTTTCTTCCCTCCCTTCTGTCTTCCAGACGGTGCTTAGCGGAGAAGTGTTTACGGGGTTGTCACTTCTAGTTGACATGATGAACGTCAGTCTGGAGTTGCTTGATACATCTGATAGTGCTGGCAACACCCGCCCACTCGCCAGGTACTTTGTTCTTCATTTTTATTATTAGACAACAGAACTGTGCCTCTTTTTTCCCCATTGGGTTCAAGTTTTAAAGTGTGTACAGTAATTCTTGATATCTTATGAGCTCAATAATGTCCAGATCCCACATTAAATATTTTTAAATTTGTAGGGTACTTGGTGAAAATCAGGTTTAGTTGTAAAATGTTTTTAAAATCCATATGACATTATCATTTGTTCTTTTTGGCCTTGCTCTTGGTATTTGCTCCGTCAAGCAAAAAAAACACCTTTCTGTTAGGAATCATATGCTGGAAGTAAATTATTATTTAAGATCAGTGACAAAAAATAATTATTTTCTTAAGACCAGTGTTGAAGAGTCTTCTGAAAATCTGTTCCTCTTGGCTTGAATAGAAACAGTAGTGTAAGTTGAGACAAGTCTAACATGATATAAAGATGTCAAATAATTAATACTGGGAGAAAGAGATATTTTGGCTGTTGTGTAACTTTTTTATAAGTTTTATACAAAGGCAGTCTTCTGATTGGCATGTTCTGCAGGTTTGACTTCATGAAATCCAAGCTGCTCTTTGAAAGCTTCTCCAACGGGACCAAGTCTGTGAACTTGGTGTCTCACTCTCTCCTGGCGTACGACACACGCTGCAGAGGGCACGGCACCAGCACAGCTCAGAAACAAAACGTTTTTGAATGCATCCTCCAGCCCTCCAAAGCTGGCACCAACCGAGCCTCCCTTCAGATGGAACTGCACTTCAGGTGCTCTAGCCACTTTGATCAGATTATTTGAGCAACATTAAAGTTTTCAACGCATGCTCTCAATATTTCAAGAATACTTAAGACCATGAGCAGCATCTCTTATGCATAACATATGTGGAAGACTATGTAAAACAGAAGGCTCTCAATGTAATATGATTTAGGAAAATTAAAAAGAATAATTGCATTGCTTTGGTACAGTATTTTGAATTCAGTGATCAGTTTAAACCTTATGCTTTAAAGTAGTGTCTGAAAATATTTTGTTAAAGATACTGGAAAATTAACAGTCCATTATAAATAAATACAAAGAAATGTTTGTTTTAGATCAATATGATTTGGTATTAAAAATGGCCAATAAAATGAACAGCAGTCATTTTAAATATGTTATGATATCTATTTGGAACATTACATTCTTTTAGATTTTAATCACAGGTTGCTGTTTTCTTTGTTTGGTTATATTATTTTTCCATTGAAGCAATGGATTTTTAGTATTTTTATTAATTTTATGATATTGTTTTATTAAAAAGGAGGCTTTGCAAACTTTCTCTCCAGGTCTACCCGAGACTCCTCCTGTTTCACGGTGGTCCTCAACAACCTGCGCGTCTTCCTCATCTTTGACTGGTTGAAGCTGGTCAGGGACTTCCTGCGCACCCCTGGGGAGAAAGGTGCCGCCCCCCCCCGCCAGCGCTGCCCCAGCGGCAGCAGTGACCCCGGAGGAGCAGGTGCCGTCATGCCCAAGACGGTGAAGACTGGGGTGGTGACCAAGCGCTCCACCGTGCCCGTCACTCAGGAGCATTACTTTGAGGTCAAGATCAATGTGACAGGTAGGGTAAGAGCCCTGGAACACAGCTCAGTCCATTGCATTACAATTCAGACCTCACCTTCCCTGTACAGGCAGAGGTAAAGAAATGAATTGGGTGACAATGAATTCTGATTAAATTGTGCCATAAATTACAGATCCTGACATAAAGAGGACTGCATGGACCTGCATGTTTTTGTTTTTTTGTTCATGTGCAACTACAACTACAGCTGAATTCTTGTGTTTGGAATCTGAGATTTTGTAGTGCTTTGGTATTTAAAAGATAAATTGGTTAGGTCACTACAGGTTCACATTGCTAATATTGAGATAACTTTTAATCTTTGTTAGTGCTGAGAATCACCTCAGTCTTTCCTGTAAAATATCCAGCTATATAAATGGGTGAAAACGTTTGTTGTTTTTGACAGAAGCATCAGACAAATTAAATGATTAATGACTAAATGAATTAGTAAGTAGTATGTTTTTTTAGCAAGGATGGTTTAACCTCAGTCTAATAACCAAAGCACATTGTTTTAATTTGTAAATATCAGAAGAACTCCAAATGGAAATTGTTTTTCAGATCCTATCCAATATTTTGGATATTGTGCAACTTAAGAATATTTATGTTTCAGGGACGGAGTTTGTGGTAGTGGAGGACTCCTCTTGCCTAGACACCAATGCCATTATCCTGAAAGGCACAACTGTCCTGACTTATAAGCCCCGGCTATCTGATCGCCCCTTCTCTGGCAGCCTGGCAGGTATTGAGGTGAGTTGGTTTGACAGTAGAAAGTGCCTAATGAATAAACTAATCAATTCATTAACTAATTACTGATGAGGTGTTCTGTCAAGATTCTTAATGCTCCTACAGTGATTCTGACCATGAAAAGTTAAATACCTTTGTTAGGAACTTGCGTTTGGATTTTTGCATCAAGAATCAATAGTAAAGATAAATGACTTGTTGTTGTACAAATTTCAAACATTTTCTCCGTCATAATAAATACTAGACTTATACTAAACATGATATTTCATGTTAACAATATTCCTGCTATGCTTATGTGATTAGGAGTTATCACAGGAAAATAGCAATAATAAATCATCGAAAAATAGTTTGGCAGTTATTGGGAGAGGTTCAGGAGGTATATGCTATGGCGTGGTTTTAACACAGGGACAGTACCGTTCCTCATCAAAACAGGCCCTTTGTATGATAATATCTACTTCAGCGGATCTCTGCATGGCCCTGTCCCTCCCCCGTGCAGGTGTTCTCATGTCGGCTGGGCAGTGAGCAGGAGACGGCGCTGTCGATCATAGACCCTGTCAACGTGCAGGTGGAGCTGTCTGGAAGCCCCACCTATCAGAGCAGCTCGGGGCTCCTGGATGCTTTCAACATGGACGACTTCCCTCCACTGCTCGAGGTCAGAGGGTTATCTAGGCTTGTGGGTCATGCCAAGCCTCTCGGCTTTTAATGTTTTGCGGTCTTCATCTTTCTTTCTCTCTCTTTCCTCGGTGATGCATAGTTAATTTTTTAAATGTTCCTTCTGCTGAGTGTTGCCAATAAAAACAAAAGAATCTAAATGATATAAAAGGGGGAAACGTGAAGAAAATATGAAAAATATTGATAAAATCAGGTCTGTTTTTCTGCATGCTTTTGTTTTATCTGTAGTGGATTCAAGGTGGGATTTAAGAATGCAGAAGAACTTACTGCTTCATTGGAAGAAAATCAGAAACAATGTTCCCAGCATTGCATTACCCCTTTAACACTGCTACGTTGTATTAATCTTTTTGTTACTTAGTTTCTTTTGGTTTTTTGACTATTTGTTTCAGCAGTTGTCATTATGATTCTTCTGCAATGTTAAAGAAAAACATTAAAAAATGTTTTTTGAGCAATACTAAATGAAGACAAATATTGAAAACATTTAAGCAATATATACTTTTATAATCCTAACGTAGTTACTGAGTATGCCATATTTTTCACTCATTTCATGTAACTACTTGATTTCCCAAAGATCCAGTTCCCAGCCCTTGATATCCGACTCTCCTATAATGACGTCCAGCTGTTTCTGGCCATTGCCAAATCTATCCCCACCTCCGGCTCGTCAGATTCCAATGATCCGGCCCTCACCTCCAAGACGGAGACAACCAAGGCCAGCCCGGGCCCAGCCACAAGCCAGAAGGACCTCTTCAGACACAAGACAGAGGCTTTAATTGGTATGTTTGCCGTCAGACAAAACAGCGTACGGCACAACCAAGGTAAATTTACAGCATATACGTGTTATATTGCATACAAAGCTTTATTATTCTCATTTGCTAAATTTTCATTTTGTCATTCATAATGTATGCTGCAAAACTGTTGTATAGAAAGCATGACTGTGATGATATTCGCAGTAGCCAGAAAGCAGCTGCCGAGGTTTCATAAGGTGAACTATGCAGCATAATTTTTGAAAGCGTTACTGAGTGCTTGGTTAAGAGCCCTGCTTTTCTTTTTACAGAGGGCCAGCTGGCACGTTTACAGGATCTGGGCTTCAGAAGAGAAGATTGTAGGCGTGCACTCATCCAGAGTAAAGGTGAGGCCAACCTTTCTTGAAAAGACAAAGTGGGAAAGAAACTGTAGAACCAATAATTTAGTTGAGGATGTAACCCTTCAGCACATAGATTACTGTATTGTACAAAGAAATATGGTGTGATAATGCGATTCTGTTATTAGATCTTTTGTCTGGTTTAGCTTTTTTTCTCATTTTAAATGTATTTGAAAATGGGAGTGCTTGTTTTATTTTCAGCAGTATCATTCAGTATTCATTCTTGAGCCACAATACTCTTTAGTTATCTGTGATGTATTTGTATTTCTGAACTTATTTAAGACTGTTGCATGTATCAGAATCGGTCATTAAGATGTATAGAAAGAACAAAAGCTATACAGGTGCGGTTCGTATGAATCATATGCTCTAAAAAGAATCTGATGGATTTAATACAATGTGTTTTCCCATTTCAGTCAGACACAAGTTGATAATTAATGTCATAGCAACAATTATGAAAAATAGTATAATTTAATGAAGTAAAACTGAACAAAATGGAAAAGAAATCCAACTGCTATAACAAAATGGTGGAACAAAAAAAACACTAAAAATGATCGGGTGGCACAGTCTCGGATGCGGTGGATAGTCTGATTTGACTCTGCTCTGATTGGTTCCCATGTACAGGCCAGCTGGACCAGGCCGCCACATGGCTCTTGGAGAATGCAGAGGTGGTGACATCACGGCAGGGAGGCAGGGCTGACTGCGACTCTTCCAGCCCCGTCGCGCCACCCCTCTCTGGGCTGGAGGTGAAGGCGGAGAGCGTGTGCATCTGCTTTATCGACGACTGTCTGGACTGCGACGTTCCGCTGGCCGAACTCACCTTCTCCCGTGAGTGTGTGCTCTACGGTCTGTGCCTCAGTGCCTTTCGTGTCAACGAAGGACTGATCAGCACTGCGCGCATTGTCGCGTCCAACTGTTTGTTGTGCAAGACATGACTGTTTTATTCAGTCTGTAACTCGTTAGCAAGGCACCTTGGTGAAAATAAGCTCTGAAAGAATTTCATAGCTTGTTTCCAGAAACTATGGAAGAGAAGTAAGGGTATTGTAGTAGAGAAATCACCTTAATTAAATAATTTCCCACACCATTACTTCTTACTAATATCTTCAGAATTGTTTTGAGTAAATAGTTACCTAAGAACTTGTGAACAGGTATAACAGACGAGATATACAGAAAGTTTGCTGGGCTTTGTTGTGGTGTGGATAAGAGTACAATAGGATCTGTAGCTTACAGGATTTTGGTTTATGTAAGTGGAGAATTTCTGTATCTGATTGGTTACAGCTGTGCTTTGCCATTCGTGTTACTCTTCTCTTCCCTCCAGGGCTGTATGTGTTGCAGCGTATCGGATCCAATCCTGAAGGTAGCGCCAGTTTCACAGTGTCTGGAGATTACTACAACCGTGAGCTCTCTGGTGAGACCTGTGTTGCCTCTAATTCTGCCTAATATCCACAGACCAGTGCTGCCCACTACCTGAACCTCATACCCTTCACAAAGCAGCTCAGTACTCTTACCATTAAGCATCACAGATCTGGTACATGTATATCTGTAGTTCAGACCAGTAATCTTACCTCTTACCTGCCTAAGTGAACCTTTATTACACTGACGTTGAGCATTTCAGATTACCTTTGCATCCTGATTAATGATGTTAATAAACAATTACTGTGAAAATCATAGTAAAGAAATCTTACAACAATACAGCTATGATTATTAAATGAAGAAGTGTCGTTCCTATTGAAATAACTGCTAGATTTGGAAGGGGGCAAAACATTTACATGTTAAGTGATCATGCTTTTAAACTAGCCTTTTCAGAATCCCAGTGCTTTACAGCTCTGTTGTAAATGAGATTTTGTTTCTCAGATGCTTTCCTGAACTTTTATAGCTCCTTGGTCTTCAGTCTGCAGTACATGTCTCACATCTATACTAATCTTTGCTTTTCAGGCTGGGAACCATTCATTGAACCTTGGCCTTGCTTTCTTACCTGGCAACAACAGGCTGCAGGACGCTTGCATCCACCCCGTCTGAAACTGGGAATCAGAGCCAAACCGCGACTGGACATCAACATCACCTCAGTCTTGTTAGGTATCAGGTATTCTTATCAGATCTCAGAAGTTAAACAAGGTTGTTCAGTACAGGAAGGGGGGCATCTACAGATAATCATATTGCTGCTGTGGATCAGTAGGTAGCATTATTCCTTTTAGATCAGAATTTACAAACCGATGTAGCTATGTGGTGACAGGGGACACTATACTGTACAGAGGTGCTGTCCTTGCAATGGTTTGTAAATGCAGTAAGCCAAGGCACTGACTACTTGGTCATTAAAAGGTCTTGTGGCATTGTATGTAAGAGGAGGGGTGTTCTTCCTGGTGTCCTGGCTGAATTGAACTTTGTTTTTGCACTATCCAGCATCTCCTCTTTAGTTCCACTGGTGAAGCAATTTCTCATTTCCCAAACTTATCTGCTGTACAGTGGATCTGCTGGTCTAGAATGTCAGCTGTGTGTCACCCAGGGAGAAACTGGGTCCCCACTTATATATAAAGTGATTTGGAATGAAAGGTGCTATTTAAATGCAGGGAATTATTATTTTATTAATCAAAACATTTCAGTGACTTTCTGAAATTCAAAAGTTACATTTAAGCCTACCTTTTTCTAAAAGAAAATTATTTTAGATTATTTTGAGGTTGTGGTGTTTTTAAACTGAAACATTAATGAGCTAGTATTTTGTACATTGGTAGTAGAGTACACTGTGAAGGACCTTTACCAGTAGTAAATAATGTATTAGTTGAATTGATCTATTTAAAAATTTACTAGAAGACTTGCACTTTATAAATTTAATATGACTACCCGGGAAGACTGTATTTCCAATGAAAAATTGATGCAAAGGCAGTTGTAAAATGCTAATGCTTTTCATGAATATCAAAAATATCAAGCAAGCTGTTGAGAACCTAACCTTCTTTTTCTTAAACTAATTCATGGGGTGCGTTCAGTTCTTTTCTGAAACAGAGAGCATTCAATTAAGATGTTTTGCTTTTAGACGCTGAAACTGAGTGTTTTGTGCAGATCTGACCATAAGCTTCACACACGTCTGTTTTATACCTCAAGCAGTGTGAAATGATACAAAGTTATTAAGTGAACGTGGCATCCATGTTTTTGTTCTGCTCTTTTTTTTAAATGTTTGCATTTGGTTTCTTAGCTCTGCGGAATCATTTTTTATCTCTTTTGCTTGTTTGATAGACCAACTGCCCTTTATAGTAAAGAGAATATTTCAGATTTAAAAAGTTTCCCAGATTGTCTGCAGGGAGTCAAAATTAGCAACTTTCTTCTAAAATCTGGAAATGGAGTTTTTATCCCTTAAAAAAACCTAAACCTACTAAAGCCATTAATAGAGTAATGAATGATTTTGCAGATTACTTTTCTTCATTTGTATTATTTTCTTCCCAATGTCTTTTGTTGTTTTGCCCTCAGAGCAATACAGGACCACTAAGACTTCCTGGCTGGCTGATTACTGTAAAGAGGAAGAGAAGGGGCAGTCGGCCCAGAACTCTGCGGCCTTGTCCTGGATGGGCTCATCAGTGGACCCCCCTTCCTTCAGACAGAGTGAGTCCAAGGGATTGGAGATTGGAGGAACGTTCTTGGTCTCCAAACAGTGTATTGATGGGAGCAATGCAGTTCTCAGGTTCCATTAAAATGGTTTTTCAGCGGTAGCATTTACAATTACTGGGACAGTGCAAATGGTTGGTAGACCAAACCATCGCAGATAAATTCGATAATGGCAGTTGAACAGCTTCCAGTTGTCAGATTCTTTGTTATGTACTACATGGTAGGTTTTATTTTCTTTATGTGGGCAAGGTGGACATATCCTGAAAAGAATTGTGAAAGAAGTTGTGAATGAAATTCAACATTTGTAAACAATACCATCAGACCATTATGAATGAAGTCAATTTATGTTTGTTCTTAAATGCTTAAAATTTCAATTTTAGTGCATGTCTTAACAGTGAAGTGAGAATCATTAGTCTACTGCTATACTGTACTCATATACTTATATTATACTCTTGGGCTGCGTTTAACATGCAGAGCATAAGGCAAATATTTTAGCCTTTTCGGCAGTCTTGGGACAATTTCAGGCAATTGTGAAGAAATGGTGGCGAAAAGAAAAGATTTTGGAAAAATTGTCCTGAAAAGGAGGTGTATATCCCACTACATTAGCACGAAGGCATAATTAAAAAAGGTTGTATGGGTCAAGGTAACTTAAAATAACATCATGGGCCAGTTGAAGATATACAAGTCTTATTGTGTATATTCTTTTAGAAATATGGAAGCCAATGGCGTAGTTCTGAGTCTTATCTGACACGCCTATCAAGGCAACTCTTAAGTCTGATGGTTTGAGCTGTTAAGTACCTTCAGCCCATATGCCATCAACTAGAAACTGTTTCATAATGCTCTACGCATTGAACACACCCATGGTAATTCATTTACTCATATAGCAGTGCAGGGGTAAGAAAATTACCAGGTATAAATGGGTGTGGTGGGAAGGATCAATGTGTTAAAAACCCACAAATTGAATTTTTTTTTTTCTGCTGACCATACGATGGATCCCTGAATTTAGTTTAAGAAAACATTTGATGCTCTAAATACAACCGTGCATTGCTGAATTTATCTGCTTTCTTTGTTAGTGGTAGTTTCTGGTAGAAACAATAATAAAACATTTGAATGATTAATCCTGCTCTAAAAACTAAAACCTCTTTCCTGCTTTTGTCCCTTTAGCCTCTAACGCTTGAACTCATGCACTACCCTGCAGGTCTCCCTCTGTGCTGACTCTGTCTTTCTCTGCTATCAGGTCTTCCACTTGTCTACCTTAGAACTAGGAGCACAGCCAGCTTGACTAACCTTGAGCAGCAGATTCATGCCAGAGGTACAGTACTGAGGACTGGCTGAGAGTCCCTTGCTCTTTAGGCATACTGTACATCCTCCCTCCCCCCCAAGCTGAAAATGGTACTGAAATTCCTCAGCTGGTACAAAAAAGGAAAACATTTTCTTTAAGTCTTTAAACCAATTCATACAGGTCAGAAAATCACCACATTAATGGGTGGTTTTAGAATTGTTATGTACTGTGGTAAAAATTTCATCCTGTGCTAACTCTTTGCAACCCATATCATTTTTCTTAGAGGTCTCCTTTCCAAAGATGATGTAACAGTGCTACAACTCACATAACATCTGAGGTTTTCCACTCAGACCCACTTCTGAGAAACGGCAGGAAGTACTGCCCTTACTGATGTACAAATTACTGATTTGAATATTGTTTAAATATATCTTGCAACAGTCTATGGCGGTACACATCAGACTAGGGAAAATTTGTATTTGTCATTAGGATAGTGGCGCCCTTTAGAAAGGAACACAGGATGAAATTGAATGGCACTTTCATTCTCCTCTATAATGTGTTCAAGAAATGGTATTTCACTAAATTCAGTTTAATAGTTTCTTTTAATCTGTTTCTAGCATTTGGGTTATGGGATTTTTTTAACAGTTTCTTAACAGTTTTCGTAAGTCCTTACTTTTTAATATATGTTAGAGCAGTTCTTCACCTCATCATCAAGTACAGTTATTTATGTTGTTTGTCACATTCAAGGAGAATCCAGGTTGGTTTATGTATTCCAGCATGTGGACATTTTCTGCAGTAGAAACATAATGAGGTGTGTTATAACAGTTGTGCATTCTTAATACGTGACTAAAAAATGTGTATATATATATTTTAAATTAGCTAAGGTTAGTTTGAAATACAATTTATGAATGTTTATTGAGGGACTTTGCCTCATACTTAGCAACACTTAATTTTAAATATCTGAGCATGAGTTGGTTAGGTGTGAGTCCTGAAGGATTGTGGGTTAGAGCTGAACAACTGTAGGTCAGAACTGAAGTTTTCTTCCTGATCAGAGTTCTAGTCTTTGTAGTAGAGCTTTTATTGAAAACAGATGTGATACCTTGGGCTAGAAACTTAATTTTGTATATATGAATCATGATTCAAAAAAATTGGTACACAACACAGTGTTTTCCTGTTCTTTGATTGTGCTTTTAATCTAGGAATTCGTTGGAGCTGGCTTGGCATTATGTCATTAACCTCGGATTCTGTTTCATAACAAAGTTGGAGAATTAGATCATGTTGGGTTTTCAGATTCTTTTGACATTTTTTCTGTTGTATTTTATTTCATTTACATTCTGAATTGGAAGGAGGGTATACCAAAGTTTGTTAATGTGAAAGAAATTTGTATTTTGATGTTGATGTGATTCTATGTAGTACTCCCTGCTGTTCGTTTGTAGAGCACACCGTGTTGATGTGTCCCTTGTGTCTTGATTGGATTTTCAGCGGATGTGAAAATGTCAAAGAGGAGGCAGCCATTCGTACCCTATGCTCTGCGGAACAACACTGGCTGCACCATGTGGTTCGCCACCCTCACAACTACCCCTACGAGGTGAGCCAGCATCGCATCACGACGATGTCCTTCCTTAATCCTGATCAATGCAGTGCTCTTATTTCTCGTGTTCACCTCCAGGGTGGCGCTGTCTCACAGCGGGAGTATGGATTCCATCTCTGATGCACATGGGACAGGGTTGGATGACACCCATAATGTGAGCCAGTGGCGCGAGGTCCTGCCAGGAGAGGAGATTCCTTTTGTGTTTCAGGCCAGAGAAAAACTGAGACACAGGTGTGTGTGTGGGCAGGGGCTGAACAATCGACGTGTTATTGGCATTGGGACGACAGCAGTAGGGTCAGAGAGAGGGCTATGGGTGGGAGACTGTGGACAAAACTGACTGTATTTGTCCTTCTGCTCTTTCCTCCAGACACACCCATGAGCTGAAGTTGCACCAGCTGCTGGTTCGGGTCGGGGGATGGGAGCAGGTGAAGCCGGTGTCTGTGGACAAAGTTGGGGTGTTTTTCCGATATGCTGCTCCTGATCGCAACAATCCCTCCAATACGGTGAGTGTGTTGGAGTTGGATTTGAAGACATGTTCTTAGTTTACTCACTGCAGTTCCATATTTTAGATTTTTACCTGATTTCTACAATTCACAAATATGCTTGCTTGATTGAGCATCCGTACAATATCAGTTTGAAAGTCCCAGTTCTGTATACTTTAGTTTAACTAGAGAACAGCTCTCTCTATTTTGATTTAACCTTGATACCTGTAGTTTGTACTGAATGCTTATTTTACTTAAAAGTTTAACTTTTATCCATTTAATTCTAAACTGGTCATTAATGGTTCCTAAATGGTGGCAAATTTCAATCTGCTTGTTGGAAATTTCCTTTTAAAATACTATGGCATCTGTTTCAGGTCTTACTGATTTAATAACACCTCAATTGTGCTGCGTGCCGACTCTTGTTCTTCTGCTTAATGTGAATTATGGTTAATCTTAAGCAATTTGAGTGACATGCAATTGTCAGTTGTAAGACTCTTGAATCGCTGCTGGTATTGAAAATCCAATAACCCAGCAATTATATATCACTTAGAATTAATTTGACAGCTCCCAGCGTGCAGATGACATTGTTAGCAGACTGTGATGTATGGAGTCATTTGTGTCTTGGTTTTCAAAGCACCCAGCAGATTGACTGCTGCATGGAGCAGTCTTTCTATCCTGTTCAGTTCTCCTTATTGTAGGGCTGTCCTTTCTCTTCCAGGTTGGGAGCCCTGTCAGTCGAACCAATATCATTCACCCCCATGTCTACGTAAGTCCATTGTCCATCATTTACATTGCATCAGAGTGTTTCTTGAAGCCTTAGAAGAGCTATTATTCTGTATGAGTTCTGTAAATTTACACAAATGTCAGAATGAAATTAATATGATAGTTTTTCAGGTAAAGATTTACTGAAACAAATTCTGTGCTTTTACCTAAAATAGATTTAGCCAGATGTGTGTTTTATAGTATGTTAGTGCCCTGGTGCCACCTTCATTAGTAGAGTGCATATGGATATTAATATATGTGGTCCTTGTCTAGTTCTCAGCTCTGCCCCCAGTGAGAGTGGTCTTCTCCATCACTATGGAAGGCAGCGCTCGCAAGGTGATCACTGTGCGCTCTGCACTGATGGTTAAGAACCGACTGGAGGTTCCTATGGAGGTCCGTCTGGATAGTCCATCAGCGCCAGATAGTGAGTTTTTGTATTAGGCTGTAATGGGAGCACTTCAAGAATATGGATACTTCAAAATCGTAACAAATTCCAAGATATAGGAATAACATCTAAGCATCTCGTACAGTACATTTCATTGTAGTCCAAATTACGAACATGTGTATAGCCTTTTATCAAGAGAACTGTCCAAATGATATGGGTTGAGTAATATATATAATCATGACAGAGCCTGTGGTGCTTCCGCCCATCCTGCCTGGTGACTCCCTGGCTGTGCCTCTGCATCTGACCTCCTGGAGGCTGCAGGCCCGTCCCAAAGGCCTGGGGTTCTTCTTCTGCAAGGTGCCCATCCACTGGACCAGCGTGGAGCGGCCCGGTGAAGTCAGCAGCACCAAGAGGGAATGCCACTCTGTTGACTTTGAGGAGCACCTCAAGCGTAGTTTCAGGTAAAGGCACAGATCCTGGCTGGACAGGGAGCTGCAGGCGTTGAAACCACTCTGATGAACTGACGGATTGCCCTTGTTAGTAGGTGGGCAAGTTTGTACAAGAGAATGTTCTTCCCTCTTAGACACACTGTTGATCTGTTTGCCCTAAATGTGAAGAATTTTCTCTTCCTTATGGCATGCTCAGATGTGTGTATTCTCCAGTTTTACATGTTAAGTTTAATTTAACAACATGGTAACTTTCAGCTCTTTTTTTGTAGTTTGAAGATCTCTTTTCCCACTGTTCTTTTTCAGGATGCCTTTTAAAAATACTTTTTTCCCCCCTCTTTAAATAAACTGGTCTCACTTTGGTTCCGCTCCAGTGGGTGAATGTCTTCAAGAGTCCCTTGAAGACAAAAGCGTTCCAGGTTTTAATTTTTTACTCCCACTTTCATCTGACAATTTTTCCTTCCTTCTCAGGTTCTGTGTCGTAATAAAGAAAGACAACTACCCTGACCAGCAACCTGCCAAGACAGCGTCAGGTGGCTCCAAGCAGATCTATCGTCAGCCAGGCCACACAATCTACCTGCTCCCCACTTTAGTGCTGGTAAACCTGCTGCCCTGTGATCTCATCTACTACATTAAGGGCACGCCCATCAAGGGCTCCATGAAACCTGGCAAGGAAGCTGTCCTGCATGCTGCCGACACCTCTCAGAACATTGAACTGGGTGAGGGCACTGTCCTCCTTTGGGCAATCCACAGAGCGCTCTCTAGCTTGTAACCCCATGAAAGTTCTTAAATTATTCCAGTTGTGTACAGTAATTTGAGCATACTGTACAAGTTAGAAATTGGGTGGTAAACTGTACAATGAGCAATAATGCTATATCAAAGGATTTGGAAAACATATGTTTATTATTATCTGCAAAACAGAATTGTGACTTTTTATACCCAAAGAACTGAGTCGGCGCCGTGTAATTTTTCTATTTTAAGTATTTGTTTAGCATTGGACTTTGATGGAGAAAACATGAAAGATGGTGAAAAAGATGTGTCATTGACTTTAAGATCCTAGCATATGTTTGTATGAGTTGCACATAGCTGGGTCTGCTTGGATTGTGCGCTTTGACTTTGATCTTCCACACTGGTCTTATCATTTAGTAGTACAGTAGCTGTATGCCATCTGACACTTGCTTCGCAGCTGCTAACCTCACTATCCTCTGTCTGTTTTCAGGGGTATTGCTGGAGAATTTTTCTGTGTGTAAGGAGTTATTGATACCTCCTGGCACCCAGAACTATGTGGTACGAATGCGGCTGTATGATACCAGCAAACGGCTGCTGTGTCTGACCATTCGCATAGTCTTCCGTGCACAGGGGGCGCTCAAGATCCTCATGTCTGCACCCTACTGGCTCGTCAATAAGACTGGTATGCCACCCTTGGTGCCTCTGCAGCCTTGCCTTTAAACTACCAGCCCTAATAGAGAAATTCCATGTGGCGTTGCTGTTCTTAAATTTCTGACTCATTTATGCTTCTTATGTTATTCACAAAGCTAGGAAGAATTATATGAACCTATGCTGTTCACAGAGGTGTCCTGTTTTCATTATTTTTATCTTTTGGTTATTTGACAGTCTTGCCTGTGCCTTACTTTTTTCTTACAATGTTTCACTCTTCAGTTTCACCTTGAACTATTTAGTTTCTGATGGTTTTTAATTTCATTGCTTGGCACTGCACGGATACCTGATGTGAGTGCATTGTTATTGATGCTATTGATATTTTTGTAAGATGTTCATAATAATAGTTCTTTACACTTATATAGCACTTTTTCTGGGCACGCCACTTAAAGTGGTTTATGGATAATGGGGACTCCCCTCCACCACCACTAATGTGTAGCTTCCATCTGGATGATGCAGTGGCAGCCGTTGTGCTCCAGTAAACTCAACACACACCAGCTATCAGTGAGGAGGAGGACATCTCGGTCCTCTTACTGCTACTTTCTCTTTATTCTTCCAGGACTGCCACTCATTTTTCGCCAGGACAACGGGAAGACAGACGCAGCTGGGCAGTTTGAAGAGCATGAGATGGCACGCAGCCTCAGCCCACTACTGTTCTGTTATCCTGACAAAGAGCAGCCCAGCATGTGAGCGCCCGACACTGCTTCTCTTACAGTCTTTCTGTTGTCACCGTACTGCTTCCCTGTGTTTCTACAGGGAATGGAGCAATCTCTCATCTGTCACATGCATGTATCTGAATGTTGGTGTCTCTCTCGTGGTCACTCAGGTGTACCATGCGCATCGGGAAGGGTATTCACCCCGAGGGTGTGCCAGGATGGTGCCAGGGCTTCTCTCTGGATGGGGGAAGTGGAGTTAGAGCTGTCAAGGTGATCCAGCATGGGAACCGACCAGGACTCATCTACAACATTGGCAAGTCCCTGGAGAGCCTGTTGGCTCCATCCTATTCAGCTTTTGGTTGTGTTCTGGGCCTATAATACAAAATGGACATCCATCTGTCTAGTTCAGAACTTGCAGCAACTGGGGTTCTCATAGTTGAGTTGTGAAAGTCATTGCGAAAAGCAGTTATGAGTACTCCCTGGCTGTGCCTATGGATCTGATGTCCTGTAGGCTGTGGGGCTGTTCCAAAGGCCTTGGGATTCTTCTTCTGCAAGGTGCCCATCTATTGGACCAGTGTGGAGGGGCCTGGTGAAATCAGTGTATGACAGAAATTGACGCAATTTTCATTCTGTTCCTTGATTCATTCCATTACATTCGATAGGTCTGTAAAATTGTACGTTAACCACTTGAGACAAACAACACATCTGTGTTTAAAAATATATAGTCAAATATGGTAGGTGTAGTTTATCAAACAGTAATTATTTTGTTTAGTAACTGTAATACATTACAGTTCTCTAATAACTGAGCCTGCTGATTTTGTTGATCGAGCATCGATTGTTGGCCTTTGACACTAAGGATGTGATTTGCAGGTATCAATGTGAGGAAGGGTAAAGGTCGCTACAGAGACACCCACATTGTGACCTTTGCCCCTCGCTACCTGCTCGACAACAAGTCCTACCACAAGCTGGCCTTCTCTCAGCGCGAGTTTGCCCGAGGAAAGGTGAGCCTTCTTAATTGAATGAGTATTTTAATGGCCTCAGGGACAAGTACTCTGCAGTAGGTTTCAAGCGCAGACTGAGTTCTCTTTGACATTGTGTTTTGCAGGGCACCGTCAATCCCGATGGCTATATCTCTACACTTCCAGGCTCTAGCGTAGTCTTTCACTGGCCCAGGAACGACTATGACCAACTCTTGTGCGTGCGGCTGATGGACGTCCCAAACTGCACCTGGTCTGGAGGGTTTGAAGTTAACAAGCCCAAATCCTTCCATGTCAACATGAGGTAAATGCTGATTTCTCACTGCTTAATGCACAGCACTAAAGTGGTAGGCAACCTAGGCTCTTCCACTCCATTCAATGACAGAACTTTTATTCAGTCATAATGTTAATTACTTAATTGATTCTTTATTACTTAATTACTGCCAATAAGAATGAAATACAAAACCTCAACCAGCCCCCTAGGTCAGCATTTTCATTGTTCAACATCCAAATGTGAACACTGACATCGCTCATTTCTCCAGTTTTGAACTGCATTTGGGATGCTCATGAATGATTGAGTGTGTAATGTACTGTGGAAATGTAGCTGCTCAAAGAGGATTTTGATTTGTATTATATTCCATTTGGAGCAAAAACTGACTAGCACTGATAGGATTCAGAGCTCTAATTTTAAATTAATAGTGTGTGGCACTGTGTTAATCTCTGCAAGTTTTTTAATCTTTTTAATTCTAAGGGACACTCTGGGAAACTGCTTCTTCCTGCGAGCAGAGATCACCCTGAAGGGGGCGACGTACCGCATCTCCTTCAGTGACACAGACCAGCTGCCCCCACCTTTTCGCATTGACAACTCATCTGAGGTCAGTTCTCCAATTATGATGTCCCTGTCATAGGCTACTGAAATGCAGTTTCCAGATCAGCATGCTGCTACAGTAAGGCTTTGCTCGAAATCAGTGATGTATCTGCCTGATCTACATCTGTCTATTCTGTACAAAATTCAAAAAGTTGGTTATGGTATGAAAATAGTATAGTCATCCTGGAAGTAAGTAATTAGTAATTAAAAGTATTATGTATTAGAAGTACATACACAAAAACTTCTCATTTTGAATACATTGAATGACAGAATGTAAATGTTACTGTCCCAGAGGTGAATGGTATCAAGAACAGTTTTCAGGAGTACTCTGAACCTGTTTATAGGTGCCTATCCAGTTCTGGCAGCATGGGGTGGCTGACCTGCGCTTGCACACCGAGGTTAAGGCTGGGGCAAAGCTGGACTATGCCTGTGACGAGCCCACCCTGCCTCCCTTCCTCAGCCTCACTGTCAAGGGGGCTGGATCCTCTGAGGTCACTGCCGACATGAACAGTTTCCGGGAGTACAACAAGCTGTACTATGAGAACTTCATCTACATTGCTGCAGCCTACACGTTTTCCAAGTACGCGTCTCCTACCTTGTCATGGGACCACCCCTCCTCCACCATCTGCTTGTCATAGTGTCTAGTTGTTTGAGCAAACTTCATTAAGTCCACAGTCATGTGATGTATTACTGTACTTAGGATAAATGCATTACTCATATCTAAAGAGCAGTACTGTATGTACAGAATGATGTTGTGTTGTAATAGTATGGTTCAGTCTGGCTTCTACATTAAGCTCTTAAATCCAGAGATTGATGGGGTCTATCATTCGCTGACTGTGCTGGAATCAGTGGTGCCTATTTAAAAGGAAATGGGTGGTTTTGATCAAGTATTTTGTAACAGTGAATTGATGATCCATGTTAGTCTTTAAGAATTCATTTAGCCCCCAGATTATAGCAGAATCACTTCACTACTGTTAACTTCTAGCGAAGTAAATCTAAAAGAGTAATATCTGCTTTGGGTATGGCCAATGAGTCAATAGTCTGTGTCCAGTGCTTAGATGCACTCTACATGTTTGTGAATGCACAGAGTTGTTTGTAACAAGCTGACATTTGGATCTTAAGGAGCCCAGAGGAAGGAAAAAGGCCTGTGGGGATGAAAAGGGATATTCGCTGTGCTGAACTGGTGCTTGATGTTGAAACAAAGACCCAGAGAGTCATTCTCAAGAAAAAGGTAAAGTGCTGGACTATTCGTCTCTCTGTTTTCGCGCATTGAATAACATGGTGCAGTTTTGTATTGTATATTTGTTTGTTTTGATTTTATGTCAGATTTATGTTGCCACAGAACGTAAATGCAGAAAAGGGTACATTTCAAGTAGTTGCAAAAGGACAGGAAGTCACAAACAATTTCATTCTCTCTCTTATTTATTGTCTCTCATATGCGTGCACATTCTTTCTGTCTCTCAGGAGCCTGGGAAGCGATCTCAGCTGTGGCGCATGACCGGTACCGGAATGCTGTGTCATGAAGGCTCCTCCTCCCCTCAGAGTAAACCCGCCCAGCCGCGCCCCCTCGAGTCCTCCCTTGTTCTGGACATCGCCGGATTGGCCGCTGTCACCGACAACAGGTGAGGACCTACTTTACATCACCTCTCTTCGGATCTGCCTTCTCTCTTGGGTCGCACCGCGTTTCTGTGCCTTCACTTAATGCCAGGAATTGTTCAGGGTGGAAAATGGGGACAACTCCCAACTCTCGGGAGTTTTCAGATCCCGAAGAATGGGGCTCGTGAAACGTTAGTCTACCTCACCGCACTGAAAGGACCCTATCTTCTAATCTGTAATTTAAGAAGTGGAGCTTTGCAATTGTCTGCTTCATAAGGGAATGATGAAGATAAAGCTTGTTTTTACTCACCAAGTGAAATGAATAAACATCCCGGACAAGCTGAGAACAGCCCGACTGTCACTGTGAGAGGACTGGTATTTGGCTGCCATGGATATGGGCGAGATAAGAATGTCCCCTGTGTCCCTTGTCTCTTGGCTGTTCCAGTTACGAGCCTCTCATGCTGAGGAGACCGGATTCTCGGCGCAGCACCACCCAGACGTGGCACTTTAGCTCAGGGATGTTGACCTGTGGGCTTCCTAGACTGGTAGTGCAGGTGAGACTCGGACCCCACCCGGTGTTTTTTTTTTGTCTGTCACTCTCTCCCCAGGCAGTCCAGATCACCTCCTTTCCCGCCCCCCAGCACAGTCACAGATTTCTGATTTTCTAGTATCTGTGGCCTTTTCTGTCTTGTCCGTGCTTTGACTGCTCTCTCGCAGTCTGTCCCTTTCTAACGGGTTGACTTCCGCAGGAAGTAGAGTAAATCAGAAAGGAGTGGAAACTAAGAGGGAATGCTTTTAAAATTGAGTACAAGAGGCACCTTTCCACAAAGGAATTGGAGCTGGAAGAAGTTACCCAGACTCCCATGTCATTTAGCTGTTAGTAACCAAATAAATTTAGTAACCAAATTTTAATAATACATTAAAATTAGAGCAGTTAAAGTATTACATACATGGTTTTCACATAATCAGTGAAGGCCATAAAAAATAATTTTATGTAAATATGCGATTGCAGAGCGTAGAACAATATTTTAAGGTATTTTCAACATTTTGAAACAGGTTACACATTTCATTTCTAAAGAATATTTCTGAACATTTTGAAGTAACGTTTCTCTAAAGGACATATTTGCTAAATCAATATTCTGTATTTCCCATGGATGCTGGAAAAGCAAAGCTATAATTGTACTGAATTGAAATAAAACATGTTAACGTTCTGCTTCAACAGGTTTGATCTTTTTTATCTACTCAGGTTAAGGCTGGGGTGTCAGGGCTGTATGATGGGGCAGAGGTAGTCCTGGGCCCTGATTCAGGTCTCCTTAATTCGGCCCCAGAACAGCAATTCATTAATCAGAAAATGCGACCTGGATCAGGGGTGCTGTCCGTGCAGGTTCTTCCTGATGGACCAACTCAAGTATTGCAGGTAAGTTTTAGTACTTCCGAAGTTCTGTATTAAATAAAATGAGTGGTAATGCTGTAGAATTTCAGAAATAATGTTTCCAGATGACTTTTGGATTATGTTTTGTTCCAATTGTATTACATAGCTCCGTACTGAAAGCATGCATGCATTTCGAAAATGTTCTCATTTGATGAAAGTACAACAATTACAGTATATTTTCCTGTGTATTACATGTTCAGTCTCATATTTAGTGAAATTCAAGCATTTTGTGTGATTTTAGCTAAATCATATACATTTTCTTTTAACGGTCTGAACTAATAGTGTCATTGGATGTCTAACCATTAATGATATGAATATCAAACATGCAGGTCTGTGTCTTTTAAAGCCCAGAGTTTTTCAGAAATCATCCAAACAGAATGTGGCCAGAAGTACTTAGTAATTAACACATTTTTCAACACGGTTCAATTTTTTGTGATTTAATATTTTGGACAAAAGATCAGATATATGGCAGAAGAAATGCCCTAGAGGGCTGACTGAAGTGGGCTCAGCTTGATCTCTGTGGCCCTGTGGTCCTAACAGCATCGATGCTGCTTTGCAGATCAGCGACTTCAACCAGCGCAGAGCAAACCGCACTCCCCCTGGTCTAGAGGAAGGTCTGGAGAGAGATGCTGAGCAGGGGAGGCCCACCGAGCAGGAACTGGAGGTACAGATCACTCTGGGTGCAGCCAGTGTATGCTCTGGGGCAGTGGTGTTGTTCTGTGTGTATATTTTATTTTCATACTATAAGATGAAAATAACAAAATGCATATATTTGTCAAATTTCAGAGATCACTACTTGAATACTTAAATAATCCATTCACTTTGTCCTAACGAATTGCTGTATCTCCCCTTTGTATATTTTTTACTGTTAAATCAAAGACAGTTTATGGTCATACAGTAACAGAACAGACTAGGTTAGCATTCATTTTTCCAGAGTGGTGTGAGAGTGCTTTTCTTTGTTTGTCTATCTAATCCAAAGTTGCTGTTTCCCTAGGTGGAGGTGAAGTTAGAGGAAGGGGTGGGTCTCTCTTTGGTCAACAAGCTGCCAGAGGAGCTGGTATTTGCCACACTGTCAGGCATCGATGTCCATTTCACTCGCACCACTGCAAGCCAAGTGCTGGAGCTCAATATAAATAATATCCAGGTAATAATAAATCTACTGCAGAGCTGTGATGAACATGACAAGCCTGTATCATCTCTGTATATACAGTACTTACCTGTAAGAACTAAGTGGCTGGATACACAACACACCTTGCACTACTCAAGCAAATAATCCAGGAATATAAACACAGGATCGTAGCTTTAATCGCCTACCAATTGCAATAACAGTATAACCTTGGACACATTGTGTCAACCTCACACATATTAATTTGAATTGCTATGACAGCAGTTAATCACAGTCCTTACCTTTGATTATCAACTTGCTATGGATATCAGTTTTAAGAATGTAGATCAAGTTAACCAATCATGCTTTTGAAGCTGGGATCTTTTAAGAATGGACTGAATATGATCCTTGGATCAATCGGCTACTGAAAACAAACAGAATAGATAGGCTGACTGGCCTCCTGTCATTTTTTATGTCTTGTGTTTCTATATTCTCAATATATGAGCAAGCCTATAGATTATATTAACACATTTCTTCCAATGTAAGGTGTATAATACTGGCAGTAGTGTGGAAAAATGTTAACAATAAGATAAGATTGAGTTTGCTTTCACCACACAATATCCAAATATTCAAATGGCTAATACTCGCGTACTGCTCCACCAACACATTAAAACAAATAAAGTCTAGCTATGTTTTAGTAACTAATTTCACATATATACCAAGCTAACTCAGCCTGTGTTCCACAAAAGCAATAACTCACCAGTGGTAGTCTAGGATTCATACCATAATACCATAAGATCCTGCATTATGGATGCAGAAAATCGACAGTATGCAATGCCACAATGTAATAGAGTGATCTATAGAAACCGTTATATTGATTTACCAGTATGTGATGTTAGAATATGTGAGCTTTTTTTAATCCTATCAGTGGTGCCCTAGAGTTATGACCAAGTTTTTTTTTATATAGGTGGACAACCAGTTGTTGGGAACGACCCACAATGTGATGTTGTGCGTCACTCCGACTCCCAGTGATATTGTAACCACTGACACTGGACCAGCCCTGCAGATTAATGCCATGAAAGTTCCAAGTAAACTACAGCTCACAGAGCTCTTCAAGGTAAAGCATGACATGAATTACATGAATTACACATGTAACTGAATAATTAGTCAACAGGACGAGCCATTAAAAATACAGTGATGATGCATCCATTATAGTAGTTACTGTACCTGGATGAAAAAGGTGTGGATTTTTAGACATTTTTTTTGAAGAATGCTTAGTTGTACCAAAACGGACATCACAAGTAAGCATTAAGTCAGTAATTAACAAGAAAAGATCCATATTAAACCCGTTTCTTAATTGTTAACTACCTCCCCCAGCATTTGATGGTGACAGCCCGCCGTTTTACAGTCATAATTGAAGAGAAACTCTTGCTGAAGTTGCTCAGTTTCTTCGGTTATGGACAGTCTGAATCAGGTATGTGGATGTCTTTTACATATGATTTTAACACGACCTTCATTGTACACATCTCAAACTTGCAGGCACAACTAAGATTTTGTTTTTGTTTTTCCACATCTGGACAATTCCTTTGTCGTTGTGGAATAATACATAGACCTGCAGAGTCACACGGTTAGCTTTACATTACTAAAACTGAAACAACCTTTGTCAACTTTTGACAAGGCTGTCACTGTGCGGGGCAAGCTATCATTGATGTGACAGCTGGCCACTGCTCCATCCACCTGTCACTGCGTTGATTGCTTCAGTCACCAATTTGAAAGGAGATCTGGATCACCTGGAGACTATTTACTATATTGTTCATTTCAGGTGGTTCAGAGAGTTCTCTGAGCTTTGTATCCTCTTGAGTCCCTGGCTTTGTTTTTCTCCCATGCTTAGTTATTACCTCGTTTCCGTAACACCCCATGGCTTGGACCTCTGTGGAGTTATCTGGGTTTGGACCCTGGCTTGCCTCGATCTTGTATCACAGACTTTCTCTTTGTGCTTGCCTACTGTATCTTCCGTGGATCTGACCCTGTCTTTGTCCTGACTATGTTCATCAGATTTCCCCATTTTGCTATAGACTGTGTCTGTTAAATTCATCTGTTTAACCCCTGCCTGCTCGAGGACTAAGCTGAACAGCACCGCTTCACTGAGCCCCTAGCTTGCTGCAGCACCTATCTGCCTGCCCAAGTGTACCGCTGCGGCTCTGAGCGCCTAGCCTGCTGCAGCACCTATCTGCCTGC